CATAACTGAAGTTGTTGAACATTTAATATGAGAAACACGATCGTTCAACAAAATAGTTCTCAAACATCTATGCTTAAATTACTGTATCACAAAGAACACATTAGAAAATCATGAAAGATTCTTATTAGTAGGGTTCAAATAAAAATTAACAATTGAACAGCAATTAGCATCGAAAACAATTCAGTCGTTGCGTATTTTGAATTTAGAAGATTGTATTTTGAATCTAACAGCTAGAAGTAATTGTGACCTTGTGGGAACAATTGATTTTTAAAAACGCACATTACATACAAGTAACAATAACACGAAGTTTCATCATTAAAGAAGTGATTATTTTTACAAACATTCGGTTATGACTGGCTAGTAAATAATAATTTGCACAAGACTTATGCGTATGTTCAAATGACTGATATATATATCAATAGTTAATGCCATTTTCCAGAATATATGGCGGACATTTCAATCTCACATTTTACACTCTTGTCAAAGTACTAATGCAGTATTCTGGCAGCCAACAGTAAAGAATTAGAAAAAACACTTATTTCCACATCAGCTTACCTCATTGCTCTATGATTTCATTCTATAAAATCGAGCTAAATAACTTAATTACGTATCAATTAAGATATATATTTACGGTTACACTTGTAAAGTCTGTAAAAGACAAATAAGAAGTTTAATTCGTTGTTTTTCCGGTATACAGCTGTAAGTGAAAAATTCGTATCTAGTTCATTTTCATCATCCTAGACGAAGAGGCATGCATAAAAAAATGAGGCAAGTGTAATTGATATCCACTACTGGATTAATAATGGCGTATTCTGCAGAAATGAACCATCTTGAGACGTGGATTTAGAGTTTATACATAAGAACATGGTTTCTGGATAGACACAATATATATAAAATCTGTAAGACAATTGAATACAAACTCATTAGCTCAGTTATAGCATTTTAAAGAGGGCTTCGATTCCTACGAGAGCACAATTCCTCATCGAATTCCAGATGAGTGTTAGTTAGCATGTAACCTAGTTGTGGAACTTTCTTCGCATAGACTCTCACAACAGAAAAATTGCACTATAGTGTGTAGCCATTCAGATAAGCGACTGTGATGTGTGAAGATACGATCTTGTTTTTAGCGTTCAATAAAAGTGAAGTGCTTAGTCATTTTCGTTCATTAAGTGCGCCAGTCCTTCACTACGAACTTTATTCCAATCATCTAAAACTACTTACATGTCATTTTTGTACGCGCCACAGTAGGGCATACCAACTTACCTGGATAAAAAAGCATAGACTGAAGGTAAGAACTTGAAATGAGATCTTCAGTCGGAATAATGCCTTTACATGTGACAGTCATTTACTAAATAAACGGAAGAGTCCTATATACTGAACAACGGATATGTGTTATATCTACTATGATTCAGAATTAAATATCAAAATTTGATGAAGGCCAAATACTGAATGATATAGCATAGGTCACTAGCAAATTAGTGATTATTGCAAGCCATTGATATCAGCTATGTAACTTTGGTATGTATGCAGAGTTACGAGAATTTTTCAGAGATTACAACCAACTCTATTAGTTAGTTTTTAAAATATTCAAAGACCCATTCTCGTATATGTAAAGTCCGAAATTTTCTTAAACAGAACACATCCCTGACTAAAAGTGTAATAATTGTAAAACTATTAGGTTATAGGTTGTATATTTTATAACGTTTGACAGTAGGTTGTACTGATAACGTTAGCCAGTTCAGCCAAAAGTAATTGATTAATGCATATGATGTACGTAAAACTTCACAACAGTTATATGAATGACCCGTACATCAAGACGACGTAGATCGATTGTGCAAGCATTCGATATTAATCAGCGAGCGACAAATATGAATTGTACTTTAAGTATGAATTTTCAAACGATCGGTCATTCAGTTAATAAAACCAATAAAACTGACAAGCCAAATGTCATTTAGGAATATGGATCAAAGTGAATTGAAAGTATTCAATATTATTCAACAAGTATAAGTCACCGAGATAACTTTAGAAAGATAGATGTGATGAGGAATTCAAATTAGAATTTCATAGAACACAAAGAGTGGATGCACCTGCGCCACTGCAAACGATTCTGAGCCATGTCATTCAAGGTCTCTAACCTTCAGCTACTATCGTCTCGCAGACCCCAACCACGTAGCCTGCATCTATCAACATGACTCAGTCCACTTGTCAGTGACTTCATGAATTTCTGCCATGTTTTGGTCTGGCTGCCTCTAGCTTTCTTCCAACCTACTCTTACATAGCAAAACATAGCTTGACGAGGCAGTCGGTGGTTAGCCAAACTCAACAAACCTCCCAACCACCTCAACTGATGAAGTTTCACCACTTCATCTATTGACCTGCCATCCTTACCTAGCAGATGTTTCCTAACGACAGCGTTGCTCACTCGGGTGTCCCACGATACTCGAGCAATGCTTCGGAGACGCGAATGATCGGAAATCAGTAACCTACGAATATCTTCTACTCTCACTGGACATGTTTCTCATCCATAAAGTAGAACGGAGCGAAAGGCTGTGCAGTACACTCGTCCTTTGGTTAGCAAACAGATATCTTGCCCGCATGTTGGCGAAAACCAATCGAGCGTGTGCTGAGATTTCGTCACACACCAGGCCATTAGCACAGCCTATAAGGCCTGCTGCTCACCCACGCTTCAGATTTCCGATAGCTTTCTCAACTTCATAAAGAGTTGGTGGACTAATAAAGATTCGCCATTCAGGATGACTGGAGATTGTGAGCAACTGAAGTGTGGCTGAAGGCCAGTTGAACTGATCACTGAAGTGTTCTGCACATTCATCCAATCTCCTGGGTTGTGAATGAATGATACGGCAATCCTTTTTCTGACATAGTTTCGCGAACAGATGTGTTTCCAATAAGTCAGAACAACTGTCTACTGTTACCTATCGCCGCTTCCTTTTCCATCGCTCTTCCTTTCGCCAACCACCACTGTTCGCGATCATTGCGTAGGCTTTTTGTCAGCCTGCGCCTAAGCTGATTTACCCTTCGTCATGCTCAGTACCATGCGGGATGAGTTTCAGAGCGTCTATCAGTTCGGCGGATGCTACTGTGATCCAGGGCTTCTTCCTAGCCTCATGGTTTACCTTACTAGCACACATCACTGCTGTTTCCACAGCCTTTCGGATATCATTCCAAGATACCTCAAAGAGGACATCACATACATGGCGTCCTGTTTTTCTAATTGTTCCTGAAATATATTCATAGCTCTGCTATCATTAAGTAGTATCATTAGAGTTTTCCTCGCAATCTTTCCTACCTCTGGTAAGCCGCAAACAAATAGGTGCTCGCACTAGAGCCTGACCTGAATCTAAACACATGCTCCAGAACGGGCAGAAGTCTTCTAACTTACCCCCTCCATCGTTTGCTGATGGCGATGTGATGATCTAGTTTAGTCCAGCGTTGAGAAGACTTTGGGGTTCGCCAGATCGAAAGGTGTTTTTCCTTATGCCTAAAGTTAGTTAGAAATAGGCGGTTATCTGAGTACAGTTGCAACAGACGGTCGCTATTGTCTGTTCTCTGGGCCGCGACACCATAACATCCACTCAGGTGTCTTTCCTCTTCACCTAGTCTACTTACTTGAGCATCAACGTCACCAACCATTATTACTACACCAGAGTGGCTAACTTTTTGCAGGAGGTCCGAAAGCTTTCTGTAAAACTCATCTTTCACCTCGTCTGAACTTTAGTCAGTGGGGGCATGGGCGGAGACAAAGGCGAGGGTCCCTATCTTTCTGAGTCCTTACAATCCAGTTGTCGGATAGCGCACGCTCGACTGTCTACTGGGATCCACTCTAGGAGAGCTACTTCTGCCCTAGCACTCAATGTTATACCTACAACAGCGAGACCCGGGGAGGCAGCATCACGGCTTCCATATACAAGAAGAGTAAACCGAGTAGCAACTTTATCTTGACACGGTGAGGTCAAGTGAATGATGCTACTCTGATCCTGTATGTGCATTTCCGTGACGCAGCATACATCGATGGCGCGAGATTCTTAAGTCCTAGCTAAGGAAGCCTGTTGCCATATTTGACACAATATTGCTACATTAAATGCTACAACATGTAGTTTAGGACGGGGTTTCAACAGACCAAGAATGACGTTTCATGAACTCGCATAGTTTGCATTAGCCATACGGGGTGATAAGGGAATGTGAGAAGAATTAGTCGTGGAGATAAGAGAGATATTAGGGGGTGTAGGAAGGATTTGTTTGTGACCAATTCGATAGCGCGTGCTGTTACGGGTAAGAGGGCAGTTATCACTTCCCTGCTGCCCACACCGTTAAATGGTGTTCCTTGAGGAATCTGAAAAAGAAGGTAGATTAGTGTTGGTCTTAGAGATCAGGGAGCGTGGCCGCAGAGTCCAAAGGGCAACTACTTGAGGCCGGTGACACACGGCCTTTTCATGAGGGGTCTTAAGAGTATCAGCTCCGCACTTGTTTAAAAGCCCTTACCGCCGGAAACGGAAATTCGTGAGGTAAAGCGGGGTGTGACAGTTTCAGAGTCGACCTTTTCTAACCCTTTCTTTCTTGTGAGAAGGCAGCATCGCTGCAGATGCTGATTGTCCAAGGGAAACACCTTACTGCTGTTACACCCATCTCCAGTCAGCAGTACAACTTCACCCTTACACCTTGAGTAGCTGTTTTTAGTCTCATCATTCTCCAATCGACCTGCCTGGCATGGTAGAACCTTCAGGAACATATGTTCCAGCCAATATAGCTTGGTTAGGTCATCACGATAGGCAAGCCTGACCACTACGTTCAAGTAGCAGCTACGGTCGAGGGCTAGAAATAGAATCTAATCAAAATTCAATTACTGTTTTAACATTTAACATTAAAAAAAAAGGAAATGAAACTCCCACCGGCAATGCAGATTTTGAACGCAATATTCAAATTTAGTTCACTGATAAACAACATGATGAAAAACAACCCTCTAGTAATCATCATCCATCGAATCGACTATCAATACAACGTTTTTTTTTTGTGAAATGCAATTACACCAAAGTCAAAATAAATATATTCATATGCAAACATAAGTCAATACAATACACATCATATATAATAATATGTATGTTGTAAACATTGACTGAGAGCATGAGTATCATCATCATCATATCAACAATCATAATTCATTTCAATCGGTTAATTTCTTTTTCGGTTTTTTCTTTCGTTTCTTCTTTGAATCCATTGGTTCTGGAGTAGTGGATTGTAATATATTCACTGATTCATCAAAAAATCTATCTTTATTTTCAATGTCAACATCATTTTTCTCTTCTAAAGAATTTTCTGCAGAATGTACAACATCAACAACAAAACCACCACCATTATCACCAAGTGATTTGTCATGGACAACTTGTTCATCCATATGATGATGATTATTTGCATTCAATAAACTTAATGCATTTAATTTACTTTCGATTCGTTTTTGAACTTCAGTTAATTGTGAAATAGCATTAACAATACCAGATTCAGTGGCTTCAGTTAAACTGCTAATTTTCTCATTCAATTGATTAAATGATGTTTCATCGTGAAATTTTGTCTGAAATGAATCAGGAATTGTTGTCAGTGGTACATTTTCAATGTTATTGATTACTTGATCTTCATGTCCTTTGAATGGTATAAAGTTTTGATATTCTAGTAATGAAAAAAGTAGGTAAATAAAAATCATATGAAGAACAAAACAAAACAAAACTAAACTAATTTAATTTACAGTGTGAATTATGATTGTCAGTGAAACGTTTGTCAAGTACAAATGAATAGGAGGAATCAATGCTAACTGAACAATTGAAGTGTTTACAATAAACACATTACAAAAAAAAATACTGACTAAGTTTGTGAAACAATCAGCTATACCGTATCAGTTGTAGTGTATGGTGAATATGATAGCATTTGGTAGAATTTTAGAATGGACAGTTTACTCTAAATAAACAATTTAGAAAATTTTCGAACACGTACAACTTGAAATTATATTTTTATAACGAGTAGATATTAACTCGATGAGAATTGAACATCAAACAGGATTAAATAGTTACAATATTTAAGTTTGACACTTATTAGCAGTGAGCATCCACACCATGCAGTCAGTCGGTTACAACGTAGAACTTCATACGTAGGTATGTCAGTCCAAGTTGCCATACGACGGAAGCTCAGAGATGCAACTGTCAAATCAAATCCCATACTGGTAGAAGTAGTACAAGTATAAGTAGTAATTGGAAAGATGATGGTTCAAAGATATTATTCAAGAAGTATAATCCAATGAAAAAGATTTGAGACGTGAAAGAAGAAAGTTATGAGGTGGTTAAATTGGAATTTGGGAGAACACAAAAAATTGATGCATTTGCAACACTGCAAACGATTTTTAACTATGTCAATCACGGTCTCTAACCATCGGTTACGACTGTCTCGCGGACCCAAACCTGGTAGTCTACACGTACTAAAATGGCTCAGCCCACTTGTCAATGACTTCATGGATTCCTGCCATGTTTTCGTTTGGTCGCCCCTAACTTTCTTCCAACCTATCCCTACACCACAAAACATTCTACTTGACTACAAGATATTCAAAAACAAACAGGAAATCAGGTTGAAGTTTCTTTATTTCAAAGCTTAACCGCCCAAATTTAAATCAATCAGATGATGAAAATTTTAATGAATTATTTAATTAGACACATTATTATTGGTACAAAGAAACACCTAAATATTTATGCGCCACACAAATTACTGAATTTGTGAGTAGGCTAGGATATTTGGTCCAGGTACTTAAACTGAAGTAGGGTCACGTCATGAGCATTCAGCCTACAAGTCTAATCTACAAAGCAGTGGAGCAACACATCAGGAGATGCAGTCCCATGATAGCCGGTGACCAATATGTTCATATGCATCATTGGTTTAAAATCAGGGTAGGATGTGTTAAAAATGAATAAGCGTATATAAATGAGTCATAAAATATTGAACGAGTATATTCACAACCAATAAGACAATAAATAATAAACTTGTATTTGTAACCATGAGTCGATCAATGTTAGACCACCATTAGAAACCTGGAAGCACTAGACGGCCGTTTCGTCCTGGTATGGGACTCATCAGCTGTATATATATGTATGTATATATATGTATAGAAAACAATAATAATAATACACACTATTGTAATGATTCAGAAATTCATTACGTTTAGTTTATTATGAATGAAAACCCTCACCCATTGAACAGTCCCATTACAAGATACTACTATTTAAACAGGTGGTCATTATATATCTAAATGGCGAACACTTAGTGGAGAGTTAGTGATTTCAGTAACCATTTAAAATAAAGGTTAGAAGTACGTCGATCTCAGTAATCTGGTGGTAACATCATCCTTGACAGAAAATGTGACTTAAAACCTGATACATTAAGTGACAGTTTGATTACTGAGTAAGGACGAATTAAGCTTTACAAACATTGAAGTATACACATTATGGAAAGCATTTATATATCACTAATAATCATAAGTACAGAATACATTTCGAGAAATTTGATAATAGCCCATTGAAAAGTAATTTCATTAGTAATAAAAATAAAAATAAATACAACACTAACTTTTGGGCATTAATGATTTAAGAACATCAGGTACAATAATTCCATGTTCTGTTTGATAATTCTCTAAAATTGCACAGATAACTCGAGTGGTTGCACACATTGTTGCATTGAGCATATGTACATATTCAACCTAGATTATTTATTATAAATAACAGTAATGAAAACTGTTTAATTTAAGCAAATAATTTATTACAATAACCATCAAACTTTAAGTCAAAATTGTTGTTACCTCATAAACGTTAAACATAAACAATGAAATAGGTGAATTCACAAAAAGCATAATCCACCTAATATAATTCTCTCTTTATTACAACTCAGCTATTCCTAATGTTTAGTATTCTCGGACATCAATTCACTCGAGACATTCACCGAAATCAAAACACGGTTGAACAGGAAATCGATTTCATTCCAATAACAAGGTTAGATCGAAGTATGAAGGTCCAAAGGAAAAATACGTTAGTATATTTATGATTTTCTTACATGAGAAGATTCTAGAATGTTCCCTCGGAATCGGCTAACGCTGATTGGATACGAAAGAGCCAATCAGCGTGCATCAACGCAGTCACGCTTTAATCCAATCTATGTCCCACTAACACCACCTTGATTGAGTTCATTTTGCAACTGATATCCTCTAATATTTTTATTAGCCTGATTATAAACATAATTTATGTAATCTTTATGTTTTACCGTGATATATGGAGCATTTTTGTTTCATACTTAACAATAATAATTTATTAGCTAAATACAAGCACATACTTCAAAACTGAGCAATTCACTTGCTTTCAAAAAGTTAACATGTACTCTAAGATAATTGATAAGACGGAATAAAATATCACATAATAATCCACATTCAGTTAAATTGAAAATTTATTTGACTGTAATTTGTTAGTAACAGACAATCATTACAAAATGTATCAATAGTTCTTATCAATCATAATAAACACTACACAACATTAAGCAACTACTTGAAGAACATTGAGGAAAGTAACCGCCCCCCCCCCCGACACACACACACATGCACTTACACCTTTATTCATTTTTTTTGTTTGACCAAAACGAATTGCCAATCGACGAGATTGATAATCTAAACAATTACTACAAGATACAAGTTCTCTGAAAGCCCCGGAACCAGGAAACCAACCTTCCAAATCATATTTCATAGCTGCAGCATTGTTTAATTCACCCGATACAATGGAAACAATACGATAAGGTAACTTTAAAGCCTGTAAATAAGAAAAAAAAAGAGAAAACTTTATTCACAAACTTGAATCTTTCAAGAATAGAAATACACTGAGAAGTAAGAGTATAGTCGTTTCATTGATGGCAAATAGATTTTAAATAACGATCTTAATCAATAGACATTCGACTCATCAATTTTATTCAAATTCGTAATACCTACTCATTTAAAGTTCATTTGTTGAATGACATCTTTAATTTATGATAAAGATAAATCTCATATTCATTTTTTCAATATGCTAGTACTGCTACAAGCGGTCAATATTATTAAAAAGAATAAACTGGAACTTAACAAAGTTCTCGATGAAAGCATCTTAATAAATAGGTTCTATGTTCTCTGCGAGGCGTAAAAATTACTCAAATAACAGAGTGGTTTTTTTCTCGGATGAAGCAAACTATGTACTGAAACTTACACACTGGACAACCAAAATGAAATAATATCCGTCCCTATAATTCCATAAAATAATTTACAAATCATAAAATCAAATGTTCACTAGATTCAACCAATTTGGAATAATTTACATTTCGACTCGGTTTAATCAAAAGAAAAGATTAAAGTTAGAACAATAAGTTATGAGCAAAGATTACCGGAATTTCATATTATTTTCGAGAGTCATTGATGCGATAAAAATATTAAGTTAGTTAGTTAATTTAGATAACAACAACGTAGAACTTCGTAAGTACGTACATCAGATCAAGTTGCCATACTACATTAGCACAGAGATCCAACTGTCGATTCGAATCACATAGTGGTAGAGATAGTTAACAATTCCGCCTGTGGACCCTCTGGGTTAATTGCCGGTCTCAAACCCGGATAAAGGAGGAGGGTTGGGGTTGGGGTGGCGATGCCATCCGGGAAAAAACTAACTCGCTAAAAAAACGCTAACAAGTAACAATAATTCAAACCATTTAAACTCTGCTGCTCTGGGAGTTAGAAGGCTATCATTTAGAAGAGTCATGACGTCTTATGATGAAAGTCGAGTTCCTTTGGGAGTCACAAGGCTGATACCCCTTCTGACAACCAGAAACCTTCCATTGTGTGGCCAACCGGGAAGTACCATCCGCCTTCATACCAATAAAAGCACACGAGACCGAATCGGTCACAATCAAATACTTCTTACACCTCCTCCAAGACCAACCCTTCTTTCGAGCGTTTGTCACCTCGCGCTGCCGGAGCAAACGGTTTGAGCTCAAGAGACGTTATCCCTGGTCTCCTGGAACCCCATTCTAAACAGCATATTGGAGCTTTTAATGTTCGAACGTTGTACCAAATATTTAGAAAATATTAAGAATAATTTATGATTTATTAAAACAGCAAACTAACTTGGTAAAATGCTTCAGCATTAGAAATCATATGATCAAACATTTCCCATGACAGATTATCGTGTGGGCTAGTAATGCAAAACTGTTCAACCTACCATTGGAAAAAAGAGGAAAACAATTGCCAAGTAAATTCATGAAATAACAGCAGTCAGCGAATTCTTAATATATATATATTTATAGCATCAAAAAAAGTCTATGCTACGTTCATCCAATATGAGATCTAATGCACAGTGACTAATATGTTGTTCATTATTGTTGTTATGACATACGGTTTTCAGAAATGATACAGGCAAATGAACTTTCTATACGCAAGCTGCCAGTCAAGTACTGAGTGAGAAAGTTTATTGGGGGCTAAACTGATTTATATCATTACGAGATTATTGATTGGTAAAACATAGTGACCTCATTTGCTGTTTGATTGGACCACTGTACTAAGTATAACGACACCCTTAATATGTCTTTAAACTCTACTAATTCTATGGAAACAGAGTCTTTAAACATTATTCCAGTACAGTTGTAATCATCAACCGCGTATGGTTTTATGGAAGCATATACAGTAAGAAATCAGGACAGTATGTGGTAGGGTAGATTTGTAGCTCAAATGGATGATTCTATAGATTTCATTCCGTCGGATGAATGGGAGTATTTTGGAGAAGTAGGTAGCAGTAATGAGCGAATTTAAAGTTGAGAATAAGCATTTTTCCAGTGGATGAATGGTATGTGTTGGGATAGCCAATCGAGAAGAAAGCCATGCACATTGTGGATTGATGAACTTATCGATTAAATGCTTAAATATTTCAAGGGCAGTCAATCGATGAACTATTGGATTTAAAATTCAAATATTTAAACGACAATATCGATTATATTTATAATTGTATAAATACGCATGTTTGGTTGTATATTTTTGATTCTGTTAATAAGTGTTCTCCAACGTCTTCCGTCTTTTTATTTTTGACGGTGGGAGTCTAACGTTCGAGGGTCATTAATACAGTGGTTTGGCGTTACATCAAGCAGAAAACATAAAAGTGGCGACGGAGTGTTCAACCCACAATGCCAATTACCCTTGAACAGATAGAATCTTTACTGGAACGTCAAGGAAAACGATATGAACAGTTCCAGGAACGTATGTTGGAGTTGTTTATGAAACAAATGAATTTGAATCACAGAGGTCTTACCGACGACTCATATAATCCACATGCAGACTCGATAGTTAATTCCATTCATGAATTTCATTTTGATGGCCTTGCTGGTGTGACTTTCGAGTCTTGGTTTAAGAAGTATGAGGATTTGTTCAAGGTCGACCTCAACAATTTTGATGACGCCACCAAAGTTAGAATCCTCTTGAGAAAGCTCGGCACAATCGAACACGAACGTTATAGTAACTTCATCCTCCCAAAGAACCCACGAGATTTTTCTTTTGATGCTACAATCGAAACGCTGTCGCAAATCTTCTCTGAACAGTCATCTCTCTTTAATATTCGTTATCGATGCCTCAAAATAAACAAGTCAAATGAAGATGATTGGGTAAAGCACGCCGGCTTAGTAAATCGTGAATGCGAACGATTTAAATTATCATCAATGACGGAAGATCAGTTTAAGTGCCTTGTGTTTGTGTGCAGCTTACAATCTCCCGAAGATGCTGATATAAGAACCAGAATCTTAAGTAAAATTGAGCAGTGCCCAAACATCTCGCTTCAAGAAATAACTGCAGAGTGCCAGAGATTAGTAAATTTGAAGCATGATACCTCCATGGTCGAAAACAATGGCCGTGCATCATACGTGCATGCCGTTAGTGAAAAGAAAAATTCCGGCTCACAAAAGCAGCACAAAAGCACAGACAACCAGCCCTCATCTCCATGCTGGTCATGTGGAGGTTGGCACTATAAGAAGTTTTGTCCATACAAAGATTATGTTTGCACTAAATGTCACAAAAAGGGTCACAAAGAATCTCGATGTAGAAAAAAAACTTGCAGACATTACTCCGCGAAATTTGATTCCAAGAAATACAGTTCTGGTAAGCCAATAAACCGAGTATTGGTGTCTCATAACCAGACAAGAATTCACCAAAGAAGAAAGTATGTGACTGTGGATATGAATTCACACCGTATCCGTCTTCAACTTGACACAGCATCTGATATCACCCTTATCAGTCCAAAAACTTGGGAGAAAATTGGAAAACCTACAGTTCACCAAACGAAGCAACTAGCACACAGCGCATCTGGTGGTAAGTTAAATATTGTTGGAAAAATATTGTGCACTGTTTCAAAAAATGAGGCCACAACGAGGGCAACTGTATACTTAACTAAAAACCTAGACCTTGATGTATTGGGATTGGATCTCATAGATGCATTAAAATTAACAGACCATTCTATCAACAATATCTGCAGCCAAGTTAGAATCAATAACCCTTTAGAGTCAAATCCGGGAAATGCCATTATAGAAAGGCATCATCACGTATGTCCAGAAGCGTTGGGCGAATGTACAAACGCCGCGAAAAACCCTTCGAAATGCGAGCCTCAACAATGGCAGAAACCTACGGGACCTTGGGAGAGAATTCATGCAGAATTCGCTGGCCCGATCCAAGGTAAAATGTTTCTAATTATTGTAGATGCGTATACAAAATGGCCAGAAATATACAGCATGCCGAATTGTACAGCCTCAGAAACTATTCAGAAGCTTTCTACCTTATTTAGTTGTTTCGGAGTGCCAGAAACATTGGTAACTGATAATGGATCACAATTTGTTGCCGACTAATTCACGCGATTCTGCAGTTCAAACGGCATAACGCATCTACGGTCCCCACCTTACCACCCCCAATCCAATGGACAAGCTGAACGCTTCGTGGACACCTTCAAAAGAGCCTTACTGAAAGGGGGAGACGAGGGGCCAACTAGCCAAGTAATCACGAGATTTTTAACGGCTTACAGAAGCACTCCGAACCCTATGGTCCCAGAGGGGAAGTCTCCAGCCGAAGCGATGTTTGGAAGACGTATTCGGACTATTTTTAACGCGATGTTGCCCCCTAAAAGAGCGAATAGATACAGGCCAAATCAAAATATTCGCAGCTTCAACGTGGGCGATAAAGTGTTCCTAAAAACATATCGTGGTAAAAATCAATGGGAACCAGGAACAGTCGTCCAAAGACTAGGAAGAGTTTTGTATCGAATCACAGGAGCTTTCGGAAGCTGTGTTAGACACACAAACCAACTGCGAAGGGACGAAAGAATGGCACGCTCGGGTGATAATCGCGTGAATCCACCCCTGGAGTTGATCACAGAACCGACAACTACACATTTTTCCCGGAATGCCGAAGAAAGGGGAAGGTTGGAGACATTAACTCGAGAAACAATAACCAGAATGGAACGCCGCCGCAACCCAGTCGTAAGACTACAAGTGGACCCAAGAAAAAAATCTTATTCTGGGGAGGTGTTGGGATAGCCAATCGAGAAGAAAGCCATGCACATTGTGGATTGATGAACTTATCGATTAAATGCTTAAATATTTCAAGGGCAGTCAATCGATGAACTATTGGATTTAAAATTCAAATATTTAAACGACAATATCGATTATATTTATAATTGTATAAATACGCATGTTTGGTTGTATATTTTTGATTCTGTTAATAAGTGTTCTCCAACGTCTTCCGTCTTTTTATTTTTGACGGTGGGAGTCTAACGTTCGAGGGTCATTAATACAGTGGTTTGGAGTTACATCAAGCAGAAAACATAAAAGTATGTAAACTTGTTATTGAAAATTAATTCTTAAACAATCCCTGCTTATGCTAAGTGATTTTCAACGTGAATAAAATGAATACATTAAAACACAATTAACACACTTTTTCAAATTGATGAACACGAAATATTCCACGAGTGTCACGACCATGACTACCAACTTCTTGTCTGAAACACGTTGAAATCCCTGCATATTTAATCGGTAACTGATTAACAGGTAACCATTCATCTTGATGAAATGCAGCAATTGGTTGTTCGGAAGTTGCAATTAAATATTTCTCTTCCTCTTCACCTTCGTTTGTTGGCGAATCATGATTAACTGTGGCGTTAGGTTCACGACGACCAGTAACCTGAAGAAAGGGAATGTGTAAATTTAGTCAGATCAAATAACTACATGTATAGGAAAATAACCACAGTTAATTGATGCAGGACAGAGATAGTAAATACAATTGAAACCAGTGACTTGACAGTTCCATGATAAGTATTCAGATTGTCAAGTCATCAAATTAACTTTATGGGGCACAGAATTGACAATGTAATGTCGTTTAAATATAATTAAACACTAGTATATGATGGAAACAATAATCTAAAAACAAAGGACCATCAAGCTGAACTGGAAGAAAAGAAAGTGTATGACTCAAATGTGTTATTGTGGGTGTTTCCCTTAGTCGTCAATCAACATGGATTGGAATACTACATACTCATATTACTTGGTAATGTGAGCATTAACTCACAAATCCAACATCTATAATATGATATTATGAAATTTCTGCATCAAGCAAAAAACTAAAAAAGATAACTGACACTTTATAATGAACTTTAAATCATACACTAATAGTGTAGAACTTGGCGATAGTATCAAACTATACAAACAGAAGTAGGGGGAGCTAAATCCGAACATAAAATCTAGCGGCTGAAGCATCAGTCCTGTAATTACTAATCTACTATCAAAACGTATCATTCACCAGTTGATAATCTAATTAGATTACTTCTTTATACATTTGTATACAATATAACAGTTGAATTTCGTTTAACATGAAGGCTTCTTATAGAAATGGAGCTGATGAATGTATAAAAATAGCTGTACAGAATTCTAAAAGTGAAAATCAATTATGTTCAGCAAGTAAACAATTTTATCTTTATAACAATAAGATCCACTTCTGCAGCAGTAGGTCTCAACGTGAACAACGTAAAATGCAAGATCCTCCAAAACAACAAAACATCCACTTAGTAAATCATACTTCAAGGAGAAGCTTTGGAAGATATGGAAACGTTTGCATACTTGGGTAGCACTATTGATAAATAGAGGGGATCTGATGGAGATGTCAAGACACGGATTAACAAAGAAAGGACAACATTCCTACAACTGAAGAACATCTAGAACTCAAAACAACCGTCAACCAACGCCAGTCGCCATTTTCAATACGAACGTTAAGACCGTTCTATTGTTTGGAGTGGAAACTTGGAGAACTTCAAAAACTACCAACCAAAATATAAAGGTACTTGTGAATAGTTGTCTATGACAGATACTGCATGTCCATTAGCCGGACACCGTGAGCAACAACCTACTGTGGGAGAGAACAAACTGGATTCTTATCTGAGGAAGAAATTAGGAAAAAGCACTGTAGGTAGATATAAAACCTACTGCGGAAATCATCAAACTGAATCATGAGACATGCCATAACTTGGGATCCTCAAAGCCAAAAGAAAAGAGATAGAACAAGAAACACACTGAGCCGAGAATCGAAGGCAAACATGAAAAAAAATGAAGAGCAATTGGTTAAAACTTGAAAGGAAGACCCAGGCAGGGTAGGTTGGAGAATGCTAGCCAGTTGCCTATGGTCCATTTAGGGTAAAAGGAGTAAGTAGGTAAGTAAAAATAAGATTCTATATCTTATGGTGACAATCAGTTTCAATAAAAATTTAGAATTATTTATTGCATTTATCTAATGTAGCTAAAACTGTATTAGTTTAATAAAAGTTAATCTATTTTCATTCTGTTAAACAAAACAAAGTACTTTTCAAATTATACTTACTTTATATAACTCTTCATCAAATTGACTTAACTGAGCTACCGCTCGCATAGCTTCCTTGCGCATAAAGAAAGGGGTGTATAGTGCTGTATAACCACGTTCATCCAGCATACGTAAAGCCAAGTTTATGATTGCTTGTTCTAAGAAAACAAGTGGCCCCTGTGAAATTAATAGCACAGAAGTTAATTTTTGTGTGAATACAAAATATGCACTAAAGCATAGATGTTAAATTAAAAACTTCGTAAGATGAAAGACTAGAAAAATAGGAATAAGCAAAAATAATTACAATGCCATAATAGGCTTTAGAATCCTTGCTGCTTTTACCATCCTTTTATCAACATCTGTAAATAAGTCAGATAGGAATTAGGATACACAAAGACAAAAACTAACCATGAAACTAAATAGTTCTTAATTTTTCTTCAGATGATGTGATGTTAAGAGCAGCCTTAATTAGTTAAACTAATCAGTATCAAACATTACAAAAATGCTACTGGATCAACTAGAGCCAGTGGCGATTTAATACAATTATTAGTGTCATAGATAAGTGTTTGATTTAATTCACCGACTGACTATATGAATTTACGTGAAGCCTTCGGACAGATAATAGCTTTTAGTGGCCCGAGATCTGACTCCAATTTGGAAGAACGACTGAATATTCTTTGAAATAAATCTTCCCTCCAATTTTCTTACATCATTCATCAGTGAACCCCATTTGTGCAACGGTGGTAATAAGAAGCTAGGTACTGATTTAGTTGGATGAGTTTATTTTATGCAATCGTTTACTCAGGCAGACATGAGGATGAAAAGAGTAAAAGCAAAAAGAAACAAAGTGGAGAATAGAAGTGGGTTAACTCAATGTGATGAGGCATTACTGTTTGTAGTCAAACATAAGCTAAACATGTGATAAGCGAAGTAAACAATGAATACACGCACTTAAAATTTTAAGCAAATAATTGACAAGGTCAGAAGATCTATGAACAATAACTCGAGGAGAAATGGTTAATTCAGTCTGTCAGATGCAACGTAGAACTTCGTACGTAAGTAAATCAGTTCATGTTGCCATACCACATCAGCACAGAGATGTAATTGTCAATTCAAATCCAATAGTAGTAGAGGTAGTAAAGGGATTAGAAGTAATCGTAAAGCCTAAGAACTGCACAGTACACTCGTCCTTTAGTCAGCAAACGGATATCTCGCCTACGCCATAAGTGACGCAGGTTGGCAAAAGACGATGGAGTCTTCTGTATTCGAGCTGAGATTTCGTCAGTCACCAGGCCATTGGCACGGATGAAACTCCCCAGATAAGTGAAACGGTCTACAAGCTAGGACATAACATGTGGACTCAATAAACTAGTACACTAAAACCTTATATGAAGCTTAAACATTGACTTAATGAAGCCGAATGAACTGGCACCAAAACACAACTAATGGAGTAACCTTATTAAAGATTCTTCCTACCAGTTGAAATCAATACTGAATAACGGAATCTCAACACATTTGCTGAGACCCAGTGTGGGATATAAGTATACACTGTTGAGACGAGCAACTGTTTGAAACAGAAGGTATGTGACAAATGTTGTTCAGCACAGTTGGTGCTAGACCAAAGAAATGAACGTACAGTCAGCACTGGGTTAAAAAATTCTTATGGCAACGAACAATAAGTAGAGTTTAAGAATAAAAAACACGAGATTATGATTTAAAAAGCTAGTCACCATTACGGAATAAAGTACCACTAGAGGGGAGTTGACCTTACATTTCAGAAAAAAAACTAATATCTGGTACATATTCATTTTCGCTAGTGATTGCGTACAAACTAGTTTGTGAGTAAGAAACATCTGAACACTCATAAATTTCATACATGTTAATCATATACAACTAAACAGTAACTCCTTTATTTTTGGAACCATATATACTTTCGGAACTTAAATGCATAAGTGACTATTAGCTACCCATAAAACGTTGATGTATTCAACCTTTAGTCTCTACTGCTATGTCACGCCTCCATGAGTTATTCGGTCTTTTGAGCAGACTAATATATTCGTCTCCATTTATTATCTAAATATATTTTGACCGTGTCAATTATTCTCATTTAACATCGACTGTCTATTTGAGCATGTGTGCATTGCTTACTCCATTCATTAAGCTTATATCTGTCTAGCTCCAAAAGTGAGTCACGTTTACCCAAAAAGGGATTGGCAAGCTTGCCTTCTCTGCTTCGCTTCGTCTGCCTGCTTTTCACCCTAATGCTTGTCAGAGTAAACGATTGCATGAAATAAACTCATCCAACTGAATTTGCGCCTGGCATCTTACCACTGTCATCCAAACGGGATCAGCCTAAGTATAATATACGGAAAACAAATGGAAGAGTCATTTTCATGGATATTTACTTGTTCGCTCAAATCTGGGGTCAGATCACGGACCACTAAAAGCAAGCTAAGAACGAGCAATTTATTAATGACAGGTAAAAAAAAAATCTAAACACTCAACAAGTTAAAATCATTCAGTGCAGTATTACTGACGTACAACTAGACGCTAACAAGGTATAGGAAACTGAACATAAATACCCACCTTTAGGAAATATCCACGACCTCCAGCTACTGTACATCCACGTTCACCGTCAAAACCATCTACCATTACCACCAAGTCGACATGAGATAATGGTTTCCGAAAATCGCTTTTCCCAAAAGTTCGAATAACTAAATTGTCTTCCTAGTAAAATGGATATATATATAGAACAATATTTTAGATGGGCGTTGAGTGAGTCACTAGGAGAAAAAATAAACACCGACCACATGTCTTTGCACAATATCGCAACGAAGCAATAATTGAGTAGAGTTGGGAGAGCCAGATAGTTCAAGTCAATTTATCATAAACGCAACAGCGAGTACCAATGTGTAACATCTTAATTTGACATATCTCACATAAGCATGGACAAGACTATGAAGGTGAAATTAAGACGGGTAAATATAAGAATAGTACTGATGAAAACGTAAAATCTAGTGCAAAGAAAAGGTTTAAAAATAAGAAAAATGGGTAAAAGGGATGAATATTAAAACTTACAGTATGAGAGAAGGAAAAGTGAATACATTTGCACTATGAATACCAATCTCAGGTACTGTTCCTAAAGTCTCCAACTAACAGATGTGATAATATTGCAAATACGGAACAGTATGTTTACACCATCAGACATTGTTTAGTTAAACAATCAATTGCTTCATAAGCTGAGGTCACATTTTTAGCTGACTGCAACTAAACTTCTGTCAGACAGACAGAATGAGAGGAATTTGGGTTGAATGCATCTGTGATATGAAAGATTTTGAGCCATGCTACCCAAAGTCTCTAATCAATGACTGTGTTTATCCTGCAAACCACGACAAGATATTCTGTATCTATCATTATGACATAGATTAATATTGAATGACTCCATGTATTATTGACACTAGTTTGGTTGTCTCTAGCTGTCCTCCAACCTACTTCTGAGTTAGTACGTATTATTTATCTAGGTAGACGGTGGTAAGGCATATGTAGTAGAAGTCTTAACAACTTTATTCAGTTAAGATTCATCACATCATTGACTGATTTTCCAACTTTGTCAAAAACAAAATGCATAACATTGCCGACCCATGTCGCCTCACGAAACGCAAGACATCTATGATCGAAAGCCTCCAATTTATGTATTTGTTACATTCATAAGCCACGTTTGACAGCCATAAAGTAGAATAGAATGAACTGTACATTGAAGTAGTGTTTTGGCAAGTGTAATCTACAGTTTTAAATAGATATACACCTATGTGCTAAATTCAAAGAATATGGATTCAGTGAAGAACATTGTGAGCTACATGTTCTAGGTGTTACAAAGGGATATTAACAGTTACATGACACATGTTACCAACCTAGAAAAATGAATGCGCTGTAAACGACTGGATCCAACAGCTGAACCAATGTTTAAATACTAGGTTACACTATTAATTCTGTGCCGAAGAGTTGGCGTTTCGTTACATTCCCAGGCTTTGGCAATTAAACGACTAAAACTGGTTGTTTTAAACGTAGACAAAACAGGTGCATTACTTGGATTAGTACGCCGACTTTGGCTTCTACATGAAAATTAGTTTTCTTAATGAAATACAAAACTGATAGTAATTTGAAAATGAAAGTGTCACGTGGTTAGGGATGTTAACAAAGCTTCAAATAGCCGTTATTAAAAGTATTTTCAAACGATACCAAATGAAAGTGGATTAAAAATTTTTAGGCAAACAAAACGTACTTCATTGTTACTTATTGGAACATCTGGATGTAAGATGTTACCGATCTCGTACAATTGCTGCTGTCTTACAGACTCAAACTCGGTTACGGAAGCTGCATTCTTCTTTATTTCTTGATCAACTAGATTAGATAATGACTTCAATTGTGCAACACTCAGGGACTAAAACATAAGGACATACAACTCTTTTACCTGTAAATCAGCTTCCACTATTGAGTCAAGACGTTCGAACACATCATCAAATAAATTGGACTCAGAATCTGGACCATCTTTGTTTTCCTGCAATTCAGTGTCAAAACTATAGAAATTCTACCTTAATTCTCTTAGAAATTGCCTTGCTACAGAAGTTTTTTACTTTATTTAGGTGATCAGCTCTAAAACGCGCTACAAGGTTTGAATAACCATTTGAAATCTACCTTTTCGCCAATTCTCATCTGCTTCGAGCAACAAATCGACGCGCTTAGTACCCCTGAAACGTTTTATTTCATTGGAACGTATGAGCTCTGGATCACCTCCTTTATCAGCTCTGAAAAGGTCTAAGTCCAACACCATGACGGTAACGTCAAGCACTCATACACCGCAACTAAATTTCAAGGTCAGCAAACAGACGTTCGAATCATATCAGTCTTCCATCATAAACGTAGTAAATCAGGATTGTGGTAATCCTTCAACTTAGTATTTTTAGAATGGTTTACTGTCTCCTTAAAAGCCTCTAAATAACCATTCAACACAAAAAATACTATCATAAAATCATCTCACGAGCTAAATGAAACGCAACAGTATCCAAAAAAAATCATCCAATAGGTAGGTCTTTGAGTGTGGTGCAGTTTGCCGACCCCCTACAATGTCAAGAGCAGCCAAATCACAATAATTATGACATGACATGGACAGACCCAACATAGGCGAAAAGCCGTGTGCTGGTTCAATTTGCAGTTGGACGTGTTTTCGAGCTGTTTGCCGGATCCGTTTGTCTGCCTTTTTGTGTAAATTTTTGGTACTTGCACGCTGAGTATTTAAGCTCTTCAGAGTGCCTACTGTTTTCGTGAACTAGTCAACAGGTGCTGGTGAGAAGTCCTCGCATAACAGGTTTCCGGATATAATGACTCGGTACGTAATCTTGTATTCTAGGAGTAATTCGTCCTTCTTCCGCTTATTTATCCGGCTGCAGTGCCTTGTAAGTAGTTTTAATCTAGTAGAAAGAAAGGCAAATCATTTATCAGGTCCAAAATTGTTTCTTGGTATTCTGTACACCAGGATCATGTTGCCTCTTAGTCTACGGTTGGAAAGAATATAGAGTTCTTACATTTTAAGCCGCCCTACGAATGATAAACGTGAGAGTTCCTGGATCTCTTGGGTAGATGCCCACTGTAACGAGTTTCTTTTAAACTAGGGCGTGAGCCTAGTGGGATCTCAAAAATGTTATGCATACTTTCGAGGGCATACTGGTATCGAACTTGGTATGTTGACCTTAAAGCCAAAAGGGTTCTGAATCTGATTGATGAAGCCACACATCAATAAGCCATAGTTTCGATCGTAGCCTGATGTTACCCCAATATCATTTTGAGACCGAACTACGTGCATCAACTCTTCCCCAATGTTGTACTTATTTATCTTTGTATTCCAAACGTGCATTGAGACATAATCGTCCATATTAACAGACATCAGCCATGTGTTGGACCAGCTAATCAGTACGTTGAAGTCGGAGCCAAGAGCAGTTCCGTCTGCCTGCCGGCCAGAATTTTTCATCATCCGTATAAATAGCATCCGTGATATAATGTTACCCTGGAGTTCATTTACATATTACATAAACAGTCAAAGACCTTGGACAGATCCTAACGGCACACCAACAAGTACTGGTTTCCAGAAACTGTACTTGCTCCTAAAGGCATCATGAAGCATACTGTTAGGGTTTTTGAATGGCCAAAATTGCACCCTTCTTGTCCAGACTCAAGTTTCACCGCCCAGGGTGTCAAATCCGGTATGACTGACACCATAATAATTAAGTATCAATTTAAACAGAATCATACTGTTCAGTAGAAATCCCAGAAACTCCAATAAAGGTACGAAAAATAGAAACTATAACAAAATACAAATATTAGCATCCCGAGATGGGAATAAACAGACCACTAAAATGTAGCACAGAAAGAGTCAGTAAGAACATATTACAAATATAAACATGGAGGGATTTTTCCAAAACAAAGCCTTCATATTGGATTCTACATATAATGGTCACCAAAATACAGATAAATACACTTTCACGTCATATTTTAAACCTTCTAACCCCACTGAATTATTTTACAGCATCCATTGAAACCTTACATATCCGTCAACCGAATGAAACCAAGTCTTCAAATAGTTGTGACTAAGATCGTCCCCGGAATCATGAAATTACTGTATTACGGAAGACTTTCTGACCTGGACATATTACTAATGCCAAAAGGAAGGACCAAATACGATATGATCACAGTTTCAAAATACCTAATGGTAAACATGCATCCGACATTCCCTAACCTTTTTTGAGTTCCAAATTAGAGAATTTAGGATGTCATTGAGAAGTTCCACAATCGCAAAATAAATTACCTATCATATGACGATTAACCTTCTCGTCAAATCGTAGGTGAATAGAATTTGTTACCTGAAAATGTGACTGAAGCTCCAACCGTAGACGTAAACAAAATGAAATCAGGTCCACAGAGAGCCGAAAACAAAATTTAGCATTTTTTGAACAAAACGTAACTGTTTAAACACCATGACAGGAGCATGTATTATTGGTTTCGTCATGTACTCCAATTAAATGTTAAAAATAACATATTCCATCAGCTATTGGAATTATTTATTGTAGCCAGCCACCTGGTTACATCGACAGTATAATCGAGGTTAAGTATTAAATGCAGTGTCTCTTTTACGTGTACAGGTAAGTCACACCATTTCCGCCAAAGATTCGTAGGCTGACAATCATCAACATCGATCACTTACATTGTTGACATATAAATTTGCGTCCTATGATAAGTGAAAATCTTTCAGTTTGTGTCGATGGGGGAGAAAATGAAGCCCTATCTATCAATCACTATCTTTTGTTCAACTACCATTACGGGTAACTGGGTCTAAATATGTAACGGATATTCAAAATATGACGATACTTTTGCCCGTATGACCTTTCCTATAGATAATTCCGAAACCCAATGAAACCAGAAGTCATGAATAGAAGTACAGTTGAAATGTAGTTGGAATGTCTAGAAATGAGTTGTCCAAGGTGACTAGTTATGCGAGGCCAATCATATACTAGTGCATCTAAAGGTGAATTATCCTGGGTGAGTATTTAAGAGCCTTCACTAGGATGTTCGCAGCAAAATATTGAGGCGAGAATCGATGTACAATATTCACAGAACTATGATTTCTTTGCTTCTACAGACCTGTGATATAACTTAGACTTACTTTGAAGATCTAATATTTGAGTAAAGGTTTGACTCTCTCAAAACCGTCTCGACCATCCCAAGATCTTGAAATTCAAGTGTAGCTTGCTCCAACAACTTTGACTGTTCCACATCCTATTTAGGCAGAAAAGAAGGCTGCATAACTTCATGAACGTTTGAGATTTTCTAAAACTCACACTCGTGGTTACGACCACCATGTTCACTACTCCTACTTTTGCTCTAATAATATCAATTATTTATTAACCGTTAACATTCCTTAGTACAATGCTCTTATGAATAACATATGTAAGATATACTCTATATGATTAACACTGTACATATCTTATCAATATTGCAGACTTAGGGACTGTTGAAAGATATAACGTCATAGTTAGAAGTGCCAGATAAGGCCATAGTATCATAGGAAAGCCAGTGAAAGTACCCAAAACATCATCTCAGACCCTGCGACTCATTCAGGCTATTCACTAATTTATTTGGTTTTGACCTCACCAATGTTGCTGCTAAGACAGCGGAGGAACAAACACGTGTAGAGAAATGAAATTGACAAATAAAAAAAAGTGAGTAGAAGACACCCATCACTTTAAAAATAAACATATTAGCCAAGTGATAATCATAGAGAATCTAGTATTTAAAATTATTGTAGATATGAAAGAAAATTTAAACAAAATATTTGCGATTAACATATAACTCGCCAAATGAAAAATAATTTAATTCCTCGTTGTCAAATACTCTGCGATTCGAAAATATTTCACACAGATACTGAGACAAATTCATAAGCATTTCAAGTGTGACAGTGACGTGTCAATTTCCTAACTGAGGAAGCCTAGAGTTCAAGTGCAGTCGCCGTGTTTGTAAATCTTAAATTATTCAGGACGAAGTGAACGCGATACTGGAAAATCCTTGTCGCTGTCGGGAATATTCACTAACATTTCGAAGCGAAGTTTTCACCATGCTAACACTGAACAGTTGTTCCACGATGTGTGTTTTTCAAGTTCCTGCTCATATTTTCGTAAAAGATAAATAGTATGACAGGAAAAGATAGGCACTGGAAGAATCTTAGGTGGTAATAATTTTATACTTCATTCTTCATAAGTGGTCAATATTTTACCAAATAATGAGAATAATTTAAATGCAAGTAACTTGAGAGTTCTGTGATTACATTTCCTGAACATATTCACTGGGTGCTAACTTGATTTGTCATAATGCAGAACACACTTTGATATATGACAACCACTTTAAATTTCTACTATTCGGGAATTCGTGGATAATCCGTTTCTTAAATAATGACATAGCTCAATTTCTAATAGCTATTTATTTCCTTTAGCGAAAATCTGCTTGTCCAAATACCGTAAGTATGGCACCAAATTTCGGGATACTTACCGATCCAAGAATCTTCACTATGTTATTGAATTTTCATTGACTACATTTGGATTTGGTTATTAATTCTTATTATCCACGGAATGTCAAAGTAATTTGGAATTGCGTCTTGATTCCTGAAACCACTGATTACTGAACATGGAAAATGTCGACAGAAAAACTGGAGATATATAAGTGCCACAAACTTCAGTAAGGTTTGTATTAAACATAACACAGTTCCCCAAAACGCCCTAGTACGGCCGAGAATAATAAGAGTCCGCAGTCTCTTTCCAAATGCTCTAATATAGCAAATAGGCAGTCAGATAATCTACAACTGCCTAGGAGAGTTGGAAAATCCTGATTCCAATGGTGTACATGGGTTTCAGGATCCTAAAGGGAAAATGGCGTAAAGACGTACTTTCGGTCGTCAGATACCATAGGACTGCATCTCCTGAGGTAGCTTTGTGGATTCAACCTGTAAGTGCCTCTCTCTGAGAAGCACCTGCCTCGGTTTGAGCACTCAGAAAATATCCTGGTCAACTTACAAATTCAGTAATTTATGTGACGCAAAAACACTTGAGTACCTTTTCGCATTGATAATTGTGTTCAAGCAAATTAACCAAAACCCAACACAGTAGACTATAATGCACATAAGAGCTCCTATTAAAAGTGGGAAACATTACTAGTTGAATGAGACTAGCTCAACAGACATTAGCATATAAAGAATGACTATTAAGCCTTCTATGAACAAATTATTACTGTTACCATTTGTTCCAATACCGATGACAGACTTTGAAATGTATAAAATCAATGAAAAGCAGATATTCATCAAATACCCTAAAAGAATTATTTTTTTGGAAGTCTAATTACATTGGTCAATTCCTATTGGTCAGTATTATGGTCGTCCTAAATATCAATGTCACGTACTTCAGTGTTGTTTCCCATTTGTCGTTCTAACTGTCAATGTCACAGCCATCAATGTTGTTTCCTGTTCTACCTAACTGTATAAATCCGCACTATCTGTAACGTTCCATGACCCGGATCCCTAATCCGTGATCCTCATTCTCTTCTGGACTCGTAACTCGTACTTTCTGGATGCTTGTAGAGTACAGGTTCTACTTCGTATCAAGTCTTCTTATTTTACTCAATGGGAGGGGGGCTGGACATGCTGGATTAGAGTAGCATGTCGTGCCGCCGGATCCTCGCTCTCGTTTTCCGACTAAGGTAAACTCATACTAGTTCAAGCATATCAAATCGACATGTTTGCGTGCATTCGTACCAAGTTGTAAAAGACGGTTGCCATTATCTATTCTCTGAGACGCGACACCGTAAAATCCACCCAGGTGTCTTTCATTTTCACTGAATCTACCTAATTGGGCATCGAAGTCACCAGCCATTAATACTATATCAAAGTGCTAACTTTTTGGATGAAGTCCGAAAGCTTTCTGTAGAACTCATCTTTGACACCGTCTGAAATGCAGTCAGTGGGGGCGTAGGCAGATACAACGAAGAGCTTCCCTCGACTAACTGTTGGGATCCAGTCTGGGAGAGATAGTCCTTCCCTAGGACTCAATGATTTACCTACATCAGCGAGACTCCGGGAAGCGGCATCAGGGCTTCCAGATACACTAAGGGTAAATCGAGTTGCTTCTTCATTTTGGCATAATGAGGTCAAGTGGATGACGCTACTCGGACCCTGTATGCGCGTTTCCGAGACTCAATGGGGGGGGGGTGAGAAATTCGGTTTAGAGTAGCATGTCGTGTCGCCAGATCCTCGGTCCTCACTCTCGTTTTCCGACTAAGATAAACTTGTAATAGTTCAATCATATCAAATTGACATGTTTGCGTGCATGCGTAACATATTCTCTAATGAACAAACCCTTATTACTTTCCTCGCAAACATGTGCTTTGTAAACATAGCTGCTATTGTTTTGATGCATGGAATCGCATGCAAACATAAGCTTAAAAATACGAACTAGCACCTGAATTTCGAACACATTACGAATAGGAAGCAAATACAGACTAGATGGAAATACATTTGTCTCATCCAAAAAGATCACATCAATGAACATAGTAAATCAGGAGATTTAAAAGTGAAAAACACGCAGACACATACCATACAGCACTTAATCCCAAAAGTTAGACATGTTAATACACAGAAGTAACAACAGATGTACTGACAAAAAAAATTATTTGTTCAAATTGATAGAAATATAAATAAATTGTAGTGATATAAAAATAATTAGTTTTATTATAGAAAATCCTATTCTCTGATAATATGAATAATACATGATAAAAATGCAAAGAATTGATTTGACTGTACAATTTTTCACAATAGTCTTATACGACAATTAGGTTCACCACAATAACAGTACAATACTTTAAATGGTACTGCATCAACAGTGTATCCATAGTCCCAGGTCATTTCTTCACCAACATCTATATTCCTATAATTTACATAGATAATAGGTATGAAAAAAAAATATTACTATAAACTAAAAATACAACAATATATCATGATCAAAACTGTGCATTAAGCATGATTACATTCCTAAACAATCCTAGCAAAAGTACAATTTCTACATTGATTTTAAAGGTAAATCTGAAGTAAACATTTCAATGAACTGATTGGCCAAAACTCTTGTACACAGTTCTGATTTGTATGCTTTGATGGACAGCTGATTCATCGGTAATAAGATCAACCTACAGCAATAACTCACCTTAATGTGTATAAATAACTTTTTTTACCTTCGTATGATATACTATGTCAAATGTACAATAGTTGTCTCTTCTAGATAGATTACTGAGAAAAGAATGAAAACATCTCGACAGTTCATCATCAAATAACCAGTCTACTTAAGTCAAGGTGCTCTATAGACAAACAATCAAAAGTATAAACCAAACTATTTCACAAAAAGTCTAATTTTTTTTTTAAAATTTCCCTTTTTATTATTAAATCTTCAAAATTATGAGACATGAAATCAATATTCGAAGTAATTTCACATGTAACAAGTCAGTTTTATGGATATATATATATATATACATATATATATATATATATATATATACATATATATATATATATATACATATATATATATATACATATATATATATATCAACACAATATTTCAGAAGCAAAGCACTGAATACTTATAGATGATATTTTCAATTAGAGTTGTGGAGATTAGTGATTTTACACATGTGAAATCTCAATCAATCATTGTTAGACCACCATTAGAAACATGGAAGCACTGGACGGCCGCTTCGTCCTAGTATGGGACTCCTCAGCAGTGCGCGCATCCACGACTCCTGCACCTCACATGATTCGGACCCAGGACCTTCGGTATTGTGCGTGAACGCTTAACCTCTGGAGCACTGGGCCGGCATACAACGGTGTTAATGTCTAACTCTAATCAATCTAGGGATTTTGCACGACCTCACCCATTTTTTCTTCGGTAGTTACTGCCTACACCCGATAGGATTGAACTCAACTGGTCACGTCTTCTCACTAGAACTCCGAGAATTTCCTCATGAAGCAGCTAGTCCCTAGTGAGAACATTTTACGATTTTTTTACACATTTGAAATCATCAATGAGATGATTTGATGAATTAAATTAAAGGCAAGGAATATTTGAACGAACAATTGTCCCCAATAAGTTCGTTATACGGTTCTACATACAATAACTACGAATTTATAACTGTAGAGAATGATGATGACACGATTAAAAAATAACTTTTGAAGTTTTAAACGATGCAAATGTTAAGATCAACCAAAAGACAACTGAAGCAGATGCACAGTAATAAAATTTATTTCATATATACAGAAGCAGACATTAAAAATTTAATTTATACTATTAAGGTTACAGTGGGTCATTTACACAAAAGTAAAATACGAGCTAAAAATTGATGATCAATATATTACACACTACTGAGTGTCATATAAAATATTTATTAAAATGCAAAAGTTTTCTCCTAAAATTAATGAAAATTTACATTACTGGCATGTTCAGTAACCTGATGATAATAATCGATGGTTAGAGACCTTGAATGACGTGGCTCAAAATCGTTCGCAATGGCGCCGGTGCATTTATGCTTTGTGTTCTCTCAAATCCTAACCTTCTGGATTCTTCAACACCTCTAGTTTTGGTTTTCTAAACTTTTCTCATTGAATCACACTTCTTGAATAATATCTAATCCTAAACTCTCCGATTACTTCTAATACCTTTACTACCTCTACTACTATTGGATTTTACTTGACAATTACATCTCTGTGTTAATGTGGTATGGTAACATGAACTGATGTACTTACGTACGAACTTCTACGTTGCATCTGACTGACTGACTGACTCAGTAACCTGAGAACCAATCAAGATAATAACATAGTGCCAAGCTCATATGATTTGGAGATGATGCAGAAAATTTGTAGCTCAGATAGACGATTGTGATGGAGTTTGGTTCTTTGAGCTGGATGTTTTGGTTGTGGAACTCTCATTGTTCTTCTAAAAAACATTATCAGCACAAGAATGAGGTCAACAGAATAGGCTACGAGTCATACGTGGAGAAATTAGAGTATTTGAGTTCTGTATGACGTTTGCACTGATAATGTTGTTCAGAAGAACAATGACAGCTCCACAACTCCATCATAATCACAAAGTAATCAAGGTTCCTAAAATGCACTCTTAAAATAACCAATGGAATTACAAAGAAAAAAACTATCTTAGTGTCAACAACGATCAAATAATTAAAACATCTTGCAAAATGAAGAAAATAACATTCTCATCAGTTGTGTAGTAATTTATCTTATTAGATTATGATTAGCCTACATCGATGATTAGTTGAAATTGAAGAATAATGAATGTCTTGAATAGTAGGATGATATCAAACTATAAAATTAGAATTTTAACTAACATTGAATTATTTTTACAGTAAAATAAGCCTATTTTTTTTCCTAAAAGACTACCTGAATAATAAATTTATTTATGTTGTGTTCCAACATACTACTGATACGTGTAAAAGTAATATCAAACATCGATGATCCTAATGAATTTTAATTATGAAACCTATGACTCTATATGACTAAACAACGTGTAAACACCAGACTATTCTATTTCCTTGAATGCATTTCAATTCGTACTGAAAAACGAAGTGTCGCTTCAGATATTAACAACTAGCTAGAAAATATGTTTCGAAAATCTATATTTGTATATATGGACTTTTGTCTAAGTTTGAACGAATAGTTTCACAACGGTTAGGTGCTGAGTTAACATTAAGGAGGGATATTAAGTTTGTAACAATATTTATAAATTCACACCAGTTTAAATTATATTTGTTACTTATATAATATAATGAGTACATGGTAAAACGTTTATCACATCATAAATATGAGAAATAAAGGTTTTCGTCAATACCAATATCCTTGTCAATTTATTGAGTATGGAGAGGGAAATAATGAGACACTGACCAACAAAGGAAGTATATTTCAGAAACATTGTTGCGCTTAATTTCAAGTTTATAAAATGCTTATATTTATTCTTGTTCCTATCTTATTCTATTAATTCTCAAGCTTTCGTTTGATGTATGATTCACCGCCATACTTCGTGTCATTCCAAACATTATTGTAGCCTAAACGAAACCTCTATACTCAATTTTCCTAACTTAATCCTTTGTGCGATGTGGTTTTTGTCTGTGTATATATTGATTCAGGTGTCTTTTCTGGCAATCGAAGCAGGAGTAAACCGAGTAGTGTTCCAGTTGATTCGTCTTCTCTCTCGTTGGTCAGTCTTTCCCTCTGTTTTTGACAGTTTAGTCAACAACGGACTCACCCAGCGCTAGTCAGAAAACTGACTACATTGCCTAACATGTTAACGCCTATTAACTAGATCAAGAGAAAATTCTATCCTGTGTATTAATGGGCAGACAGTTCAAAGAAGTAACACTCAATATTAGTTAGATAGAATAAAAAACGTGAACACTACTATCATTAAATAAACAGTATTAAAAAATCAAAAGCAATAAACAAACCGTTTTGCAAAGAAAGCAACTTCCGGAAATCGTGGATCATGTGTATCAATGAATACATTTTGAACAAATACATTTGGATTGCATGAATGATTGAAATAACGTCCAAGATTGCCCATTTTCTTAGCATCCATAATATATGGATTAATATCATTGAAATAGGTTCTTGCACGTAGCCAGTCTTTTTGAGCAACAGGATACATACGTTTACTTAATTGTTGTTGATTTTGTTGATGAGATTGTGATTGTTGTTGTGATTGATGTGATCGATTATTTTTATGCTGATGATGATGATGATGATGATGCTGATGATGATGACGATGTTGATGATGGTGATGATGATGATGGTGATGATGTGGTTGTTGTTGTTGCTTTTCAACGTCTTTTTGATGTGATTTTGAACGTTCCGGTGGTTTTCTATCCTTGATTTCAGATTCTAGACTAGTTGAACGTTGAACTAATGAAAAAAGGGGGAAAAATTCATCTTGTTAGAGAAAATAATACGGACTGAAAATATAATAATGACGAACTGACGCTGATTATCGTAACTTATTAGTCACAATATAAGTGCTCCCAGAGGGTTGAACCAGTTGGACGCCTCCTTGAGCCTCTCCGGGGCTGCTATCGGACCCAAGCACGGATAAAGGAGGAGGGTTGTGCTTGGAGTTGGCGACCTGCTAAAAAATCGCTTACAAGAAAAATTAATCCAAACCATTTATACCCTGCCCTGGAAGTAGGGAAAGAGGTACTAGGTAAGGATGATAGACCAATAGATGAAGTATTTAAACTTCATCGGTTGAGGTGGTTGGGACATGTGTTACGAATGCCCAACCACCGACTGCCTCGTTGAGCTATGCTTTGCGGCAAAACCAAAACATGGTACAAATCCATGAAGTCACTGACAAGTGGACTGAGTCATGTTGGTAAATGTAGACTACCTGGTTAGGGTCGGCGAGATGATAGTAATCGATTGTTAGAGATCTTCAATAACATGGTGCAAAACCGTTGGCAATAGCACAAGTGCATCTATTCTTTCTGTTCTCTGAAATCCTAATCTACTGACTTCCTACGGCCGGTTTTTTTCTTTTTTCTAATCGATTCCTCTGGGGTATACAGCTCGAATGATATAGTCGATCATCAAACATTTCGATTACCGCTAATACTTCTACTGCCTATACTGCTATGAAATTCGAAGTAACAATTGCGTCTCTGTGTTAATGTGGTGTGGCAACTTAAACTGATGTACGTACGTATATACGAAGTTCTACGTTATAACTGACTGACTGACTGATTGTTGGACCAGTTGCATGAGGGCTACCTAAACTAAACACAATGATAAAGTGAAGAAGAAGATATGTTAGAATCCTGTACTTATCAAATTTCTTTTCGAGACATAAAATCAATATACACCTCAGATGACCACAGAAAACAACATCACTACTACTACACACAAAAAAACCCAAGGAATTGTTCTATCAAAAACTATGAATGAAAACTTACTTTTATCACGTTTGCGCAATTCTCTGCCAACTCGATTATTCTTTTCATCACTAAACAAACAAACAAACGAAAAAAATTAAATTTTAAAATTTTAACAAACTTTGTTTTGTTTTCATCAGTAGTATGATGAAATAATTTAAATTAAGTTTGATTTATTGAACAAGCAAATACTATGAATCACCAATGTGTGTTGAATCAAAGAGAATGTTGAGTGATAGGCGCTGAATTCCTAATTTCAAAGCGAAAAATCACAGCAACATTATCCAACTAGACGATACTGATGAGTTTTGAACAAATCGAGATAACTATGTTTCAATCGGTAGTGTTATCCAGTATTCAAAAGTAAATAAGAAAAAAAAAAGGTGTTTTTAAATTTCAAGACTACAAAAACAATGATTTATTCATCATTGATAAAAAAGAAAATGAGCATTTACCAATAGTAGTAATTGATTCATGTAACTTACACATCGGATAGATTTGCTTTAGACTGTGAAGTTTCTTTGTTTACTGGTGGTGGAGTAGAAGGATGTACAGGTTTAAATGAACTAGTTGAACTGACACGTCGAAGTCTTAATTTGAGACTACCTTGAGGATTAGGTGATGCTGGATTTATACAGGTTGAAGAGAGTTTTGATGTATCATTGATTGTTTCTGACTGGGAATCACTGAGAATAAGAAATATAAATGGAAGAGAAAACATATATCTATTCACATATATATGTAAGGTATTAGATTTGAGTCGTAGAGTGAACATCAACTACGAGATGGAGGTACAACTACTTAGTGACAAGTACTAGATGGGATGGGACATACATCCTAGAATATCACAGTGTTAGTCACATTCGAACTTTAACCTATCCATGAGGATAACATAGATGAAATGTATTGATGTGATGAAAGTTTACATCGAAATGAGCCATGTTAGGTTACTTGAGGCTAGTATTACTATGTAGTCAAATAATAGCTTTAAAAATACTCATTAATTATTATCACATTTCTGATATGAATAAAACAAATATTCAGTTCTGAATATGATATGATACAGTTTTATACACCATAATCACTAATATTCTTCACAAAGCAATAGAAGTTTGCTATTTCAACCATTCCCAGTCAGACAGTTACAATGTAGAACTCCCTACGTAAGTAGATCAGTTCAAGTTGCCATACCACATTAACAAAGAGACGAGACTGTCAGTGCAAATCCCATGGTAATAGAGATAGTAGAAGTATTAGCAGTAATGGAGAAGATAAGGGTTCGAAGAAATTCTTCAAAAAGTGTAATTCATGGAAATAAATTTAGAAAGAGAAAGACAGAGGTGATGAGGAATTCAGAAGATTAGAATTCAAGAGAACACAAAGAATAAATGCACCTGCACCATTGCAAACAGTTTTGAGCCATGTCGTTCAAGGTCTCTAACCATCGATTACTATCATTTCGCGGACACCCACCAGGTAGTCTACACTTACCAACATGACTCAGTCCACTTGTCAGTGATTTCATGGATTGCTGCCATGTTTTAATTGGCCGCCTCTAGCTTTATTCCAACCTACTTCTACACCACAAAACATAGCTCATCGAGGCAGTCAGCGGTTAGGCATTCGTAACACATGTCCCAACCATCTCAACTAATAAAGTTTCATTACTTCATCTATTGATCTGCCATCCCTATCTACTACTCGTTTCCTAACAAAAACATTGTTCACTCGGTTGTCCCAGGATACACGAGCAACGCTTCGAAGACGTCGATGATGGAATACTAATAACCGACGACTCAAGCATTCCCAATCAGTGAAATAATAGTTTTATATGCATAGGAAGTGAATAACGGCATAACAAACAATAATCAAGAATCTAAGACAGTAAAAGACAATATTCTACGGTTGAAAACAAAAGAAATCAAATACAATCAATTCATGGGAAATAGCAATGTAACATTATCATCCAGTCACCTAACGCTACATCAATGTTCTAGAAATTTCATTGAGCTACAATTGAATACAAAAATTGCTTGGCCCCCTGGAAGCCCCCTTGAAGCTTTTAGGAGCAATATCAACATGAACGCCTTGTCAAATGATATGTACATACATAATAACAATATAAGCAAAAATTAAATTTACGATGACATACCTTTTTAAATTGTCAGTTTTTATATCATTAAGAGGGGTCTTTGAATCACTAGAATCTATGGAACTACTACAGTGTTCATCAACTTTTACATCTTTCTTATCCTCAACTGAAAATTCATCTTTAGACTGAACTGAATTATTGACAAACTTTCTATCATCAATGTTTTTCTTTATGTCATTTTTAGTCTCTGTTGTCTCGTCTTCTTGTTTAATATCTAAACAAACATGAAAATATCACATTCAGACAATAAATAAACAAATGAAACAGGTTTTTATCGTATATTCTACATAACAGACCATCAACCGGTCACATTAAATAAACCTACAAAGATATTTACTCATTGATTCATTCGGAAAAAATTAAAAACTATTAATACTAACCAATGAAATCGCAATTAAAATGCAATTTTAACAATCGAATATAAATTATTCGATATTTTGAATAATGAAATATGAACACTAATTCACCAGTTAAATGTCAAGATAGTTCTACTATATGGAGCGGAAACTAGCAGAACTACGAAGGCTATCATTCAGAAGGTTCAAGTATTCATTAACAGTTGTCTACGCAAAATACTTCGGATTCGTTGGCCAGACACCATCAGCAACAACGTACTGTGGGAGAGAACAAACCAGATTCCAGTGGGGGAGGAAATCAGGAAGAAGCGGTGGAAGTGGATAGGGCACACACTGCGAAAAGCACCAAAGTTCTACACAAGGCAAGCCCTCAACTAGAATCCTCGAAAGTACAGAAGGCCAAGAAACAGATTACGCCGAGATATGGAGACAGACATGAGAAGAATGAACAAGAAGTGAACAGAACTGGAAAGGGAAGGCCAGGACAGAGTTGGCTGGAGAAAACTGGTCGACGGCCTATGCTTCATTGGAGGTGACAGGCGTAAGTAAGTTATTTCCTCTTCCTACTCAATTATAAATTATGATTTATAACCAAAAATGAATATCTTAATATTTTTTAAAATGATATATTAATTCAACCATATGAATTCATCGAGAAATATGAGCTAGAAAACTAAGAAGTAAAACATTTGTTAAAGCCTAGTTCCATAAAAATTATTTCAATAATATAAATCGGATATAAATATATTGTACTGTTTAGTGGCTGCATTGAATTAGAAGTAGGATCCATTATTTTAGTGGTCGGTGATCTGACTCCAATTTTCACAAGTATGCAATAACACAAATCTTCCCTTCAACTTCCGTATATCATGTTTAGGTGAATTCCGTTTGTGCGACGGCGGTCACAAGAAGCTAAATACACTTTTGCGGATGAATTTATATTATGCAATCGTTCGCGCAGACAAACAAGTAAATACGACGCGTAAAGGTAAAGTGGAGTGACTTGGAAAAGGAGAGTGACTAACTTAGTGCGATGAAGCATGACTAAGTCTTTATAGGTTTAAATTATGTACTGGATATCGGCAAAAAACTATTATACCAGATAATATTACAGAAGGGGAAAAAAGTGAACTCACTATTTTGCAAAGGAGATAATTGTACAATTGGTACGCGACTGAAATCCGATTCACGTAACAATTGTTTAGCATTAGCTAACAATCGAAAACTACGTGGTAGACTAGCAGATCGATTTAACCAGAATTTTTTCAATTCACTCTTTTTACTATATAAATCATTTGTTGATGATGATGAAGAAGAAGAAGTTGTTAATAATGATTTTGATTTCGATTTCAATTTAGTAGAAGACTTTTTTGATTTATTTTTCAATTTCACTTGATTTGAATATTTATTACTAATTCTATTGGAAATTGAATAAAAGCATGAAGGAATTGACATGTCTTCTTTTTCAACAATTGGATTTAAATTCACTTGAACTTTTGGTTTTATCGGTTTCTTGTAATAATAATGTTGAGACATTTTGAATTTTTTCAACTTTTTTTTATGAGTTTTATTATTACTGACAGTTTTCGATTGAGTATCATTTGTTAATGGCATTGTTTTAGATTGATCAATGTTAGTTTTTGTTGGTATTGTGGTTTCAACTAATTCTTGAATCACATCTTGTACAGTACAACGTGAACGAATCGATACAATTTGTTCATTGTTATTTCCATTGAAAATTATATTGACTTTAGGATTTTTTGATTGATTTTGAATATTATTGGATGTTGTGTTATCATTAGAGGAATGATTTTCATTTTTATTAGTTTCACTATAGTAGTAGTAGACATCATGTGACAGGTTAGATGATTGCATTAGTAGTTCATCACTACATGATGGGGCAATTTGATCAATATCTTCTTCACATTGTACATCATCATGATCGGTTATTAGATCAATCATCTGTTCTGAATCACTAGAAATACATGGTACAGGTGAATTATTATGCTTTGTTCTAGGGCGTTCCGGTGAATCAATCATGATATCATCGTGTAATTCTTCAGTATTTAACTCAGAAGAAATATTTTCAATAGTATACTTATCCGGTGCTGCTTTTTCTGTAAGATTTGAATATACCGGAGGCAATGAAATGATTTCTTTCCGTCTCTTTTTCTTCTCTTTTTTATGTTTCTTTTTCTTAAGACGAACACTGACAGAATTAGGATTTTGTTGAATACTAGTTTGTATGAAATCACTATCTGTATTTACACATGACTCACTACTGTCGTAACACTTGTTTGACAATGATGGTTTTGTGGAATTTATTGTATTACGATTAGATGAATTACTGCTTATTTCACTACTTCGACTTGTTATATCATCATCGCCATCATCACCATCAACATCATTCTCACCAACACCCAGAGCCATTGATTCAGATACAGGTGATGTTGCACTGCTTCCATTTCGTCTAGTATCTGAATCAAACTCATCTTTATCATTATTGCTTGTGGTAGTACTGGTACTACGAGAAGCAGGAGCTGGTTGATCAGTAACAGAAGAAACATGTGACAGTTTATTATTGTCATCAGGACATTTGTTGGTATCACTCAGAGCAATTGTTGCTTCGTTTAATATTTCACTTAAATCTTCCACTGTAGACTCATAACCTTCTTTATCTTTTTCAACTGTTTCAATATAATCTAATTCAGCTTGATATTCATCACCGCAATCAAAGCCTTCCTAATGTAGTGTGTGAAGAATAAAATATTTTTTTTAAAAATATGATTTTCTTAAAAAATTATACAGACAAACCAAGGATACAAAACTACCACAAATGTTTTTTTTAATTAGTGTTATGGAGATTAGTGTTTTTTTTTGCACATTGAAATCGTCAATCAATCATTGTTAGATCACCAATAGAAACCTGCAAACAATGGACGGCCGTTTCGTCCTGGTACAAAACAACACTAATCTCCATAACTGTAATTGAAAATATCGTAAAATGTGCTCACTAGTGACTAGCTGCTTTATGAGGAAATTCTCGGAGTTCTAGTGAGAAGACGCGACTAGTGGAGTTCAACTTTGTCGGGTGTAGGCACTAACTACCAAAGACAAATGGGTGAGGTCGTGCAAAATCCCTAGATTGATTAGAGTTAGACATTAACACCGTTGTATGCCGGCCCAGTGCTCCAGAGGTTAAGCGTTCACGCACAATACCGAAGGTCCTGGATCTGAATCATGTGAGGTGCAGGAGTCGTGGAGGCGCGCACTGCTGATGAGTCCCATACAAGGAGGAAACGGCTTCCAGGTTTCTATTGGTGATCTAACAATGATTGATTGATGATTTCAATGTGCAAAAAATACCACAAATGTGCCAATCGAACTTTAGAAAAATTACGGAAGACAAGCAGTGACCAAAATATAAAAATATAATATTCAATAGGTGAACATATTCTATTATTCTGAGTCTTGACCTTTACAAGACTAAAACAATCTAACAGCAATCGATATTAAGTAATTTTTATAACCTTCTGTAACTACTATCTCCTGAAATTATATTTAAAAAGAGCCAAATTTAATTAGACATACATGTCCATAATAAAACGTCCAAAATTATCGATAGACAGCATAAATAATCATACATTTGACTAATTTATAGATGTCATTTTGTAAATAAATGCGTAAATTTAGATAACATGTTATACTGAAGGGTATATTTCTAATTAAACATTGAAAAAATTTCGAACAAACTCACTTGAACTGCCATCGCTTCATCGTAAATAGCTCCTGCATATGTACATATGAATGTACCTTTGGGAATTGCATTCAAAGCACGAATACCCCAACCCCTAAAGTAGGATGTAAGACATCAATATTAGTAATACAACCATTTCTTACAGTGGAAAAATGAATAAACAAGTCAAACATGAAACCTTTATACAATTCAAGTACCTTGATTGATCAAGTAGTGAATTCGAATCAGTAAAACGATTATTATTATTTCTTTTTAAACACAAATAATGGCACAAATGTATACCAATGTGAAGAGATAGAGGAAGGAAGATAAGTATAATAAATAAGTGAATGGAAAAAATGAATGAGGGCAGCAGAGAATGAGGAAACTCGCTCAAGTAAGAATAATATAACCAAAATGAATTTTTTTACTTAAAAAGGTTCCTCTCAATACCATGAAGAATGTAAAAGGAAATTACGACAGAAAAGTCACTGGCTTTTATTTTAAGCCATATCTGATAACGCTTAAAACCAAGAGGTCGTGAAGGACCGACAGCTACCAGTTCTGTACAACTTCATTCCCAACCAGTTTTAGTATCGGCAAATGATTCACTATGGGGAATTCTCTGAGATGATATTTGTAGCACATGTCTAAACCACCAAAGCTTGTGCTTCACAATGATAGTACCGATCAAATTGTCATAACCGTGCCTAAATACACTCTGTCGAACCTTAGCGGTACTAACATGATATTGCTGTTGAATGTCAGCAATCCTTTAGAAACAATGACAATCGAACAATCAAAGTAGTACAGTATGATTATCTGAATATTCTTGTCAAACATCAATAATAACGGTTAACTTATCACAAAATACTATCTCCAAATACGATCGACACAGTATATATTTCCTACAACTGTAAACTACCATATATATATATATATATATATATATATATATATATATATATAAACACTGCCGCAACGCCTCGATTTCGTCAACACTGTATTTATACTAAGTAATTTAGCACAAACACATCTTTCGTACCTTCCCTACGGTTCTGAAAAAGAATAAAGAAATATAGCACTAATATCTTAAAAAGAAAACGAACGAACAACAAGATAAAAGGTGGTGAGTCAAATTGTCTGTCCTATCAGAAACTCATCTTATAGTAAGAAAGTTATAGTATAATTATTGGTAGTAAAAAAATGATAAATGACAAAGAATATGGGATTGGAAAAGAATAAATTAATTTGAGCCATTTCGATCGACTTTAAGACCAAAACAGTTATCAGGCAGTCTGTACCTACCGAAATGATTCAAACCAATTTTTGATTGGTTATTCAAATGACATTAATCGATCACAGAATCTTCAGATTTTACAGAAACAAATTATGATCGAAATCAATATCTTAACAAAAAATATCACTGGGCTACACTTAATCTAAATCAATAATAACATGTAAACAGTAGGTATACACACATTGCGGAAAGCACCCGAGTTATAAGTCATGCCCTCACTTGAAATCCTCAAAGCCAAAGGAGAAGAGGAGGACCAAGGAATATATATTACGTCGAAAATTGAAAGCAAACACGAAAAAAATGAGCAGCAATTGAGTAGAACTCGAAATAAAGGCATAGTAGGTTGAAAAATGTCGGTCGGCGGTCTATGCTGTGCTGGGTGTAAAAAGGCTTACGTGTCTATAAATGTTTATAAGAATTTCTGGGGAAAAAAATCAGTATATTACTTGCGAGCAGTTTTGAACACTTGAAGTTTAACCCATAATCCTTGTTGAACCACTCGATTACTACATCGACGATCACAACGACAATTTGCATTACATTCATACACTCCGCCAACAGTAAATTGGGCCAACCGACGATAACGATAACCTGCTTGGCTATCAACGAAACCATTTGGATTTGTTAAAGAACTAGCCTCAACTGAATAATGAAGAATAGTTTTTGAAAAAGAAAGACAACATATTATTCTATAGCATAAAAATACATATTTGAATGCAAATAAAACCATTTGTATTTTCTTGATGAGACTTATGAGTGATGAGAATTCGTTCAAATTATTTAATAGCCTAAAACTACTTTAGATAATTAACTAAATTCAGTCAGTCAGTCAGTTGCAACATAGAACTTTGTACGTATGTACATAAGTTCACGCTGCCATACCACATTAGCGCAGAGACGCAAATGTCAAATCAAATCCCATAGTGATAGAGATAGTTGAGGTATTAATGGTAATGAAAAAGACTAGGGTTTGAAAATATTATTCAAGAAGTATAATTCAATGAGATAACTTTAAAAAGAGAAAGATAGAGATGATGAATTCAGAAGGTTAGAATTTGAGAGAGCACAACAAATGGATGCGTCCACTTGTCAGTGAGTTCATGGATTTCTGCCATGTTTTGGTCTGGCCGCCCCTAGCTTTCATCCAACCTACTCCTACACCACAAAACATAGCTCGTCGAGGCAGTCGGTGGTTAGGCATTCGTAACATATGTCCCAACCACCTCAACTGATGAAGTTTCAATACTTCATCTATTGATCTGCCATCCTTACCTAGTACTCGTTTCCTAACGACAGCATTGCTTACTCGGTTGTCCCACGATATACGAGCAATGCTTATAAGACATCTATGATCGAATATTAGTAACCTACGAACATCTACTCGTAACGGCCATGTTTCGCATCCATATAGCAGAACAGAGTGAACTGCTGCGCAGTACACCCGTCCTAAATTATTTGAAAAACTATTGTGTTGTAAGCCATGGTGCAATAAGACAGACATTTTGCTTTAGTTTAGAAATCCTCAACAATGCACTTAACTACGACTAAGCTAAAAAAAAACACTGATCCGGACTTTCAAGTCTTGTACTAAGCATGACATCTTCACATTGTATAGTCGAAATTCATGAATCCAAACTTCCAGCTTCATTTGAATTGCAAAATCGTACTACCATCATCATCACCTGTAAACGTATTCTTAGATTATTCAATCATCGAAAACGCACCATCCCTGTCGTCAACTAACTTGTGTTGGATCGACTGGAGAACAAAAATTAGTGTAGAGATATGGTACTGGGTTTGAAGAGAAAAAAGTTATTCCTTTAATTGATCCTTCCTAGTAGCTAAACCCTTGGTATTTGCAATTAACAGCTAAGACATTCAATCATCTAAACACCATAAAATAACATATCAGATTTCATACAACTACATTGCAATAAAACAATCAATATGGAACACGAAATTAACTGAAAACTAGAAAGCTATCAATTCACATGATACCAACTATAATTTGTGATAATTTTCTAAAACTATTTTTCAAAACAAAACAAAAACTCACTCGTCAATTGTTGACATGCGCATTTAGTTCGATCACGGCAATTATCCGTACAATCGCAACAAACAAGAAATTTAGAATCATTCAACAAGGGGACATTACCAATAGGTTGTCGTTGAGGTGTATAATCAATATAACCAGGGACTTCATTGTCTACACTGTTTACACAAGGAATTGGAACATTTTCTTTACCATATGATAAATCAACAATATTGGTAAGTGTCTGTTTTAAAATAAAAATAATCGATCGTAATTACGTAAACATATATACAAACCATGATCAATTACAAATTTATTGAATTCTTCGAATTTTTCTTTTATACTAAAAAAAAGCTGATTTAAGCACAAGATATCGAATTGTTGCACATTATATTCATCTTTTTTCATGTAAATATACATTCGGGGACCATTAGAAGAATAGTATAGGTTGAGAAATATCAAATTCACTTCACGTGTTTATGTTGATATCTAGTTTTTACCAAATCTGAAGACTTAATGGGATCGTGAAAATAGTTGGTAGATCCAATCCAATCAGTGTAGAGCGCATAGTCAAATTACAGAATAGGCTAGAGGAGTATGGTATAACATTCGGCATTTCGTTCGCGAACTTATCCAAGAAGATCATCATCAGAGTATTCTGGAAAGATAAGATGTACAATGAGACCGATTCCAAGGAGGTTTAACAAGAATAACTCTGTTTCTAGAAGCATTTATATAGCGATGTATGCGTCGGTAAGTAAATAACAACACTGACTCTCATATTAAAATCTACTATTCATAAACATAATGGTAATATAATCATTCTAATCAATATTTATCGATATCATCGTGAATCTGTCATTTCTAAGCATGAGGAGACTTTGTCTATCACCAGTGATACAGTAATGACTGAGAAACCAGGTTTTCACTACCCGCTCAATTCACTAATCCAATCTAATGATAAGACTTTTTCTGTGTTTAGCTATTTCAACACACTGACACTAATTGTTGGGGACGTTAGATGGCCAGATGTCGCTTGATAAATGCCTTAGTTTTGGATTCCACGTTTGCAAGCATGGGCTGATCAGTTGATCTTGAGATTTCATTTCCCACCAGGTAAATCCTTGGCTGTGATTGGCTGCTGTATATTTTAGTGTGCTATTTTCGTAACTGTCCCAAGGACGTTTCTATGATGTATAAATGAACGAGATTGGTGTGTTTGATTGCATTGTGCTTACTGGGTGTTTGTAGAATATACTTTCTACGTTATTTCAAGACTTCTCTTTAGCCGTTACGAGTCAACAGATCAAGGTAGCTTACCTGGACGCTGGTTTATTGTCTAGTTCTAGTTTATCGACTAAGGTGAACGCAAAACAGTTTCAAGCATACTTAGTGACGAACCTAACACTAATAATAACCAAGAAATATTCCACAAGGATAAACATATCTCACTTATATTACGAATAATAAGTAAATGATGACCAGAGAAAAATACACAAACAATAAACTAGTCAAAATAATGCTTTTTTACACATTTGAAATCATCAATCAATCATTGTTAGACCACCATTAGAAACCTGGAAGCACTGGACGGCCGTTTCGTTCTGGTACGGGACTCATCAGCAGTGCGCATCCACGACTCCTGCTCCTCGCAGGATCCGAACCCGAGACCTTCGGCATTGTAGGCGAACGCCTTACCATCGGACTACTGGGCCGGCACCCAACAGTGCTGATGAGTCCGATACCAGGACGAAACGGCCGTCCAGTGCTTCCAGGTTCCTAATGGTGGTCTAACAATGATTGATTGATGATTTCAAATGTGTAAAAACGCAAACCTCCAAAACTCTGCCCCAAAAATAATGCTTACTTTTTCTGCACGAAATTCTTGATTAATAATCAGTGTAGTATCGAATGAGAATAGATCTGCAGTTAATTGACTATTTGTTTTGTCTAAAAATCGTTCAACTTCATGCATTGATCTTAACGAACGACCACATGGTGCAGTGTATACAATATTGCATTTATTATTAACTGGCGGATCATATTTAGCTAAAAACCTACTTAGAATGATTGTTTTGATTTTTAGAAGCAAACAAATCAATAATGAAATGTTAAATGTATATTTAAAACAAAAAAATTGAAGTCAGTAACTAAAAACAATCCAAGTTTAACTAGAAAGATACAACGCCATGTAGTAAGTAAGTAGTATAACATATTGATTTACAGTAAGTTTGTCAATGATGAACCATTGTTGGAAACTTTTATATATCTGAAAGAATAAGCGAAAATATAAATAGTCGTACACTTAATTATTCAATTTCGAGTTCTTTACTTCTTATTTGGTGATTGAATTTTACCGATTAAGTTGCAGTTAAGCTGCTAACGTTAACGTACATTTTTCGTTTGATATAACCAGACTGAAGGATATTGGTAAAAAAAAATTCCTACATTTAGTTTTCCCTCTAGTCACTGGCCATAAGCAAGGAGCATCTGATGGTTGTATTTGAATTTGACCAATACAGTGTGATTGATATTAAGAAGTGTACAGCATGACACATTAGTTACTAATACCCAATAACTGATCAGGGTAAATATGATACCTCAAAAAAAGTCGTGTGAAATTTATGTATAAAAACTAGACTACTTATGAGTAACTAGAATTTAATTGCCTTTTGCATTTTATTGGTTAATAGTACGTTTTTTGATTTGTTTTTAATCTATTCAAACACAGAGGACTGTGTGACTGACTACATGCATCGAGAGTCAACTGGTGTTGCTGAATTTATTGTCTTCAAGTTGAGTTTTAAAAAACTAATGATTATTTGTTGTAGAATCAATTGTTATTGATAGATATGCATTTTTGGTCTGTTCGACATCCAACCGGTTGGTTACAGCTGGAATGCATCAGTGATAACATCTAGAGCAGTGAATATTGTAATTTCTCCCTACAGAACACAATTCTTTTTCAATAAGAGTACAGATGTAGAAACTTTATTAGATGTCACTTCATCACTGTTAACATTAAGAAACGACAGAAAAAATAGTGATATGGTAAAGAAAAGAAAACTAACAATTGCTGCATATGTCTAAAAATTAGCTAACTTAAAAAAAAGTACCCTTGAAAGGTTCTATTAAGGGATATGGCTGCCAAAATTATCAGTTAACTTCCAATTATATAGCAAGCAGGCTAAATGACATCACATAATGGAATAAAGAAGATTGAAAGCAGTCAGTCAGTCAGTTACAACGTCGAACTTCGTACGTAAGTACATCAATTCATGTTGCCATAACACATTAGCACGGACACGGAATTGTCAATTCAAATTCTATTGTGGTAGAGATAGTAGAAGAACTACTGCTAATGGAGAAGATTAGGATTTGAAGATAATATTGAAGAAGTATAATTCAGTGAGATAAGTTTAGAAAGACAAAAGTAAAGGTGTTGACGAATCCAGAAGATCAGGATTTGAGAGAACACAAAGAGTAGATGCACCTGCCATGTCATTCATCTCGCGGACCGCAACCAGGTAGTCTACATTTACCAACATGACTCAGTTCACTTATCAGTGACTTCATGGATTTCTGCCATGTTTTGGTTTGAATGCCAGACTGAAAGCAAAACGCTAGCTAGTTCAAGAAAGTTTATAACTCATTATTACGATTTGCTAAGTAGCATTTCGTGTGATATTGATCAAAATCAAAAGTGGGAAACATTTGTTAAATGTTAAATGGATAGGATAATCTACTTCTCTATCAATAGTCTATGTACTTAAGTACGCGTTTAGTTTTGATGACGTTTTCACACGTCCTATTGATCTACAACTTAAATTATTTGTTCAAAACAATTTTCACAGTACAACACTTGGTTACTTGACGAACATCGGTTACTTACCTTAACCAACCGCAATGGAATGGAATTTCCAACGGATTCAAACCTTTATAATCCATAGGATTTTCTGAGCATAAAATTGGTGACGATGATGCATTGGATGGTTTACGGTAACTTTTCAAACAATTATTACCACACTTGTGTGTTTCTACAAAGTGAACAAATATTGAAATTAGAAAAACTATGTTTCAAAAGCAATTGAACTATATGCGTTTATTACTTGCGATGAATATATACACATACAACGGAAAAGTCCATTAACCTTAGGAATAATACAAAATATATGAATCGCTCCTGAGTAATCTTGATTTTTAAATTACTGTTTTGTATAAAAGTTACTACTTTTATTCAAATCAGTTACTAGCTCACAAAGATAGTGTACGGAACGAATGCAGTTCGAAAGTAATTGAGTTAGCATAGTTATCAATAACTTATAGATGTTAAATGAGGAGAACATTACTGTAGTAAAACTGAGAACCAAGAGTTTTCAATAACGAATTATCAGATGAAACGTAAACACACAGTAACAAGTACTTCATACAACCATTTTAAATAACTTGATATAACCTGCTTATTATGCAAGACTTCATGTAATCAGATGTAAGCCATATTTTGTGTGAAGGTGAATGATACAGCCGCAGTAACTAGAAATGAAGTAGTAGGAGGGTTATGGTACAAACTTTAGGCCCGATGTTTAATAAACGGCATGGAATTTCCTTTTCACGAATCTTTAAACCAACACTAAAAGGCGAGATAAGTGGTTACAAGTAGTTTGTAACTTCGATTCATATGATTGTCGAAGTGAAATACAAGACCACAATCTGCAAGAACTCTAATGCGATGTTTAAAAAAGCCCACGAAACTATGGTTAAGTGGCTGTTGTTTCTTAATGGTAAGACATACAGTGGTGAACAGTAAATGAAAAAAAATACTGACAATTATGTTTACGTAACTTGATCAATACTCCTCCGAAAATCTACAAACTTCAGTGTCAAATACTATTTACCAAAGTACATTTTCGTTTGACAATTGAAGTTCGGGCGAAGCACTGTAACAAAAGAATTTAAATCACCTACCGCTCCAGGCTTCTAACAAACCCAACTGGTAAAGCTTTAACGTCTTGAGTAACCGTAATGTGCATAAGAATGCAAATAAACACACTTCATCAAGTCAGCTACATGATTACGCAGAATTTACGTTTCAATCGAAAGCAAGTTGAACTAACTCCATTGGTGACAGACTGGATATTATTTAGAACTGGATTGGACTGATCTACTAGAAACGAGTATCACGGATTGAAGTTTTAAAAAAACAAACCTGAAAACCAGTGTCAATAACATGTAAGTTCCTAGTTTACGCAGTGATATATCGATTGCTACAATTTAAAGTACCAACTGTTGGGAATGTTAGAGCCCCAGAACTCGCTTAATAAATGCCTTATTTTGGATTTCGCGTTTGCCAGCATGGGCTGATCAGTCGACCTTGAGATTTCATTTCCCACCAGCAAAATCCATGGCTGTGATTGGCTGCTGTGTATTTTAGTGTGCTATTTTTGTAACTGTCCCAGGCACGTTTCTATGATGTATAAATAAGCGAGAGTTGTGTGCTTGATTGTATTGTGATTGCTGGGTGTTTGTAGAATATACTTTCTACGCTTATAAAGCCTTCTATCTTCAGCTTGGGATTCAAGGTAGCCTATCTGGACGCTGGTAATTGTCTCGTTTGCGTTTATCGACTAAGGTGAACTAGTAATAGCTTGAAACATACCTAGTGACGAACATAACACAATGCTGTGTGCAAAGATCAACCCAACCAATCAAAACTCACTTAGAAAGTCTAATTATTTTTTAAAAAACAAATATCAGTTTAACAGAGTTAAAAATCATAATTAAAATTACATAATTTCATGATATGTGAATAGGGCATATATAATTCAAATTACATAATAAGATTTATATGAACACCTAGTTTTACAATCAACTTGTAAAGTATAGTGCGTATTATCTATTGAAACTTGAAAAAAAAGTAAAAACAGAAAAAGAAATAATCATTCACTTACCGAATGGTTTATAATCAAATTCTTTAAATAAATTATCTAAATAACTTGTTGTTGTACCAGCGGATTCCAATTCAGTCAAATTAGTAATTGGATCTAGAATTACACGTTGTTGTGCATCGATGGATTTCTCGGAATTTTTACCAGCAGTTTTTAATGCTCCATCATAATTGGACAATGATTTAGTATTAGTATTGCTTTGATTAGTGCTGTGATTCTTTTTACGTGTATCCCCACCGGACAATGTACGAACTGATGTGACAGTATTTTGATTGCCTGTCGCTGACTTACGAGCTTTACGACGTTTAGCACTTGAATCTAATGCTTTATGAAATATATATATGTATATATAAAAATTCAAGTTTCATCAATTAAGGCATAGATTATGATAATCATTTAAAATGTTAGTAACTGTTTAAATTGAAAATTGGAAACGAACGTTTTGTTTTTCGTAGGTTCTCTCGATGGATAGCGAAAGGAGAGAAATACTGATATTTATCAAACAAAATAATGATATATTTCAAACGTTTTATAGCTCATTGTAAGTTGTTTCTTCAGAATAAATAAATAATTTAATTTCAATTGATTAACAAAAGGTTAAGTAGGACAAAAGAGCAGAATTAAAAATACTTAGTACATTTAAACTAAATAAATATTATGCCAAACGACTTCGAAATACTCAACAATTGATATAATATGAGTAATCTAGGCAGTAAGCAGTCATTTCTTCTTGTCTAAAATTAAGTACATCACTAATTTATACTGAAATTTTTTTCAATTAGAGTTATGGAGATTAGTGTTTTTACACATTGAAACCATCAATCAATCAATCAATCATTGTTAGACCACCATAAGAAATCTGGAAGCACTGGGCGTTCGCGGGCAAGACCTAAAGTCCTGGGTTCGAATCCTGTGAAGTGCACGAGTCGTGGATGCGCACTACTGATGAGTCCCATACCAGAACGAAACGGTTGTTCCGTGCATCCAGGTTTCTAATGGTGATCTAACAATGATTAATTGACCACACTAAAATGTTAAGTCGTAATGACTCACCGAAAATAGAAAATTCACATATGGAATATTGATAGGACACCTAAAAATTATTATTCATTGATTGAAGAATGAAAGACATAAAACTAATCTCCTTCAAACATTTAAGTTATTGTATCATGTTTAGTTTGTGTTCACATTCGGTGTAAAAGTACATGATTTTATGATATGAAAAATTTATTCATCTGACTAGCTGTTCGATTTTTGAGTTCAAGGAATCGAAGACCATAAATAACGCAGTCTTTATATCAATTAGCATTCTACTCATTGATATTGACAGGCGAAAGTTTTACAAGCCAATCATTAGAAGGCTCCTCCTGCATAGTAAACATATAACGTGTATTGTCAAAATCATAAAATTCAAAGGAGATGAACAACTGCAGTTAAACACGAGAGCTATATTAATTGGTTTATTAATTGGCTTATTACCAATCCCTACTGGAAGCTACCCAATAGAATTTCGGTATACACTATCACTGGAACAACCAATTCACTCCACCTACTGCAAAATCATAAATCGTAGATAAAAGGTTATGATATACATTTACCAAATGAATTTGAATCATTAATAAATAGTTATAATTGGTTGTTCAATATCATTCAATAATAATAATTACTCACATATCGTTCAATGGATAATTACTACATTAATAAAAAACTTAATGAGAAATATTGAGCCTTCTATCAACTTTCATAAAAACTGTCTACTATCACATTCAAAACATAGAATAGATATATGATTAATTATTACAAGTAGTTTTGAGTACATGTTCAATTGTCTTTATCTAAAAGATCTTTTTAACTCTTATACGCTCGCGAAAGTACGGATACAGAAGGCTCGATTGGCTTTTGCCAACTTGCGTCACTTACGGCGTAGGCGAAATATCCGTCTGCTAATCGAAGGACAACTCTACTGCACAGCAGTTCGCTCCATCCTACTTTATAGCTGTGAAACATGGCAAATCAGAGTACAAGATATTCAGAGGTTACTGGTTTTCGATCATAGGTGTCTTCGAAGCATTGCTTGTATATCCTGGGACAACCGAGTAAGCAATGCTGTTGTAAGGAAACGGGTGCTAGGTAAGGATGGCAGATCAATTGATGAAGTGTTGAAACTTCAACAGTTGAGGTGGTTGGGATATGTGTTACATATCCCCAACTACCGACTGCCTCGAAGAGATATGGTTTGTGGTGTAGGAGTAGATTGGAAGAAATCTAGAGTCGGACAGACCAAAATACTGCACAAATCCATGAAGTCACTGACAAATGGATTGAGTCATGTTGGTAAGTGTAGACTACCTAGTTGGGGTCCGCGAGATGATAGTAATCGATGGTTACAGATCTTGAATGACATGGCTCAAAACTGTTTGCAGGTGAATCTATTCTCTGTGTTCTCTCAAATCCTAATCTACTGAATTCCTCACGACCGTTTTTTCTCCATTTTTAACTGATTCCTCTGGGGTATACATCTTGAATGATATATTCGATCATCAAACTTTTTGATTATTATTATTATTATTATTATTATTATTATTATTCGGGAAGTATATTCTAGTGAAATGAACTTAAAAATCAGAGATAAAGGTGATGAGGAATTCTGAAGATTAAAATTCGAGAGAAGATACAAAGTGGATGCACCAGTGCCATTGCAAACGATTTTGAGCCTTATCGTTCAAGGTCTTTAACTATCGGTTACCATCATCTTGCGGACCCCAAACAGTTATAAATAAATATATTCTGTAATTCTTGATTTTTAATGAATTCTCAACCACAATCAACGAGTGAAAATTGCATTTAATGAAATAGACAAAGTTCATGCACTTTAGGAAAGTGAAATAATACAATGATTTCCAGAATAAAAAACCCAAGTTATCTACATATAACTGTTTATATCAGAATAAAACGTAACTAAAAATCAGAATATATAAAACTTGCAACAACAACAACATTACAAAAGAAAAAAAGAAATGACTTACACACATCGACACTGTTATATTCAACTTCTACTCGTTGATTATGAGTTGGGACAGTTTTACTTTGACTAGAAAGCTGAAAATATACAAATAATTATGAAAATAGAACTTAACCAAAAAATAGTCTTAATGATTCAATAAATAATTTCTTTTTTAAAATACAACCAAAGTTGAAGCTTGAAAAAAAATCAAGTTAAATTCTGCTAATTGAGTAAACATTCTACCGTGGAAAAGCCAAAACAATGTAATAATCATAAACAATTAATAAATTAAATAAGTAATTAACAAATTTTTGTATTAAAACTATATCTTCTAATTAGGAAATGTATTACTACCCAAAAATGCAATCAGGACCATTCAAAAATAAATCTTTTTATAGTCTCTGCCATGAATGCTTAAGTTGTGGGCGAATCGTTCAATCAGGGGATCCCATGAAACTTGCAAACTAAATGATTGATTCTGAAAGGCAGATCAGTAAATTTAATAAATACTCAAGACAATTTACTATCATCGCTGTCAATTGTAGAGGGGGATGAATTTTCAAACTTCTTTTTATGTTATTAGTAGTTGGGAGCTGGGTTAAGAAGCGATTAGGGGTTTTGTACAAATCTTTTGAGTGTATCTGAGTCACGTTTCCTTACTGCGTTAACTCTTGTGTTGATATTTTGATTTTTGTAGTTAGTTTAGGTCACTATAATTTTATGATATAAATGATAGTCGATGTAAGTTTGATAATATAGATATGCATATTCACTTTTAAAATAACCTCAATGAAATAATTATAACTATAAACCTGACACAAGTACGAGTATCCTAATATGAAACATTCACATTTCTTGAAAATTATACTTCTTGAATAACATCTTCGAACCCTAATCTTTCCGATTACTTCTAATACTTTTACTATCTCTATTACTATGGGATTTGAATTGACAATTATATCTCTGTGCTAACGTGGTATGGCGACTTGAACTGCTGTAATTACGTGCAAAGTTCTACGTTGCTGTTATTGGTGATGATGATGAAATTTCTTGAAAAGCTAAGCATCTGGTTTCAACAATCGATCATAGTGAAACGAAACCACTATCTAAAATAGAAGACTTTAAGTGGTTAACTTGGGAATCTGTCACAGCGGTACAGATGCACTGATTGCGTAGCTTCTTTCGGTTCTGGAGTTTCGATAAAATTTCCTAAATTTTATTCCATAATTTCATTTTTATTTCGAAATAGATTTCCTATGATTACTTTTCCACTAGCGTTTCTGTTAAGTTCGCATTTTTTTCTGATCTTTTCTAGCTTTACTGATATGAGTTGTAAGAATCTTAATAATGTGTATAAGTAACTTGGGTATGAGCCAAAGTGTAAGTTTGAAGAGTAACTATACTGCCCCGGTCGCCCAAACTGAATTAGGTGAATCGGGGTTTAAACACCTTAACCATTAAGACATCACTAAACAAATCTTGGGTCGATAAATATGGGAAAAGTTTTATGTTAATCACAACACAAAACATATTTTGTTTAAGTGTTTCACTGTACAACTCAAATGATCCTCCACTTGTATCATGATAAAATAAAGAACAAATGACATTTTGCTTCAACAAGTATCAATGTGAGTTGATTTTTAAAGTACACAAGCTATTTTGAGCGAAACTTCTGGTATAGATCACCATTCCTCGTAGCACAGAAACTAGAATTACGAAGAACTACCCGTTGATAAACTTCTCTACACCCATATATATATATATATATATATATATATATATAGAGAGAGAGAGAGAGAGAGAGAGAGAGCACTTCGTTTAAAGAATAAAAGCACTTTTACAGAAGAATAATCTTCATGTAATTTCGGACATAATAGAGGTAATGGCTTCACTAAATATACCACTTTTAGTACAACAAACATTAATTAAGTTTAGCTAACAGATTCTATTACTAATAGAAAAGTTCTTATAGCCAAGTATCATCAATTAAAGAATCATCGAAAAGCATGTTCTTTTTCATTTGCATATAGGTCTTTGCAACAATCTATACTGGTAAAAAATGCTCAGCTCTAATTACGTATCATAGTTCTTACTTTATCATTGAGTTATTTGCAAAATATTGGCTAGTCGTTATGGTACTTCGGACTAACACAGTTTATGATCAAAATTACAATACAATCTGTCAATTAACTAAAACTGCCAATTTCTGTACCATTGTTTCTTAAGACAATATCTATCATTACTAATCAATAAATAATATGTATGAATCTTACCAAATCACTGAAAAGTGGTTCCAGTCGAGTGGAGCCACGATAAATCCATTCAGAATGAGTTCTAGAAAACTTCATAAGAGCCAAGCTTGCATCGACTTTATCCACAGTGGCTTGTATCCAATCCCCATCTAGTTCAGTTTCGATAGTCTGTCCTGGTTTTAATCTCACCATAGGACGCTGAAAAAAGGGGTTAAAAAGTTTTTTATGGAAATTATAAAAATTATTCTTATAAAATAGAAGTGAGTGACAAATAACCATGGTCTTATTATTTTATTCCACAATTATATAAATTAACGCTCAATTGTCAAGGGCAGTTTTACATTGGTTTTCAGGAGAACCAAGAAAACTGCTAACGTGTTAGCATTCCGACATGAACAGTTCGGCTCAATCCCGTGGTGCAACCACACAGGTACCTGATACCCTGGTGGACCATATACACCATTTATATACACCAGTACATATATAGTGATTATTTCCGATCCATGATCACATCAATCAATATGCACCGCATGGACAGGCCATTTCGAAACATTCCGCTTACATGACTGTCAAACTCATTATCATTAGTAATGGTGTTATGCAATACAGCACCCCAACGACAATGACCCTCGGAAATGTTGAAAAACAACCACTAGTATCAATGAAATCGGTCACCCTGCTAACCAATTTTGTATATGAACTGTTAGTGATGCTTGCCAAAGCAATGCCAAGCCATCCACAATATTCACAGCGAACCTCTGGACTCATAGGAGACCTTCAGCTCTATATAGCAGCCTTGCATACGGTGTACACATAAATGGCGTAGGATAACAAGAGATGCAGCCTAGCTTGATGCGAATAGGCTTAGACACTTCTAATAACCTTTGTCTCATGTCTGGTAATGATTTTTTCGCAGTTCCGAAATGTTCATTTTTCGACCATATGAGACATGAGTTAGGGGTAGTATCCCTAACCATGGTCTTATTGATTTAAAACTGTCATACAAAGTATTACAACTGCAAAAGAAAGTTTTGCATACAGAATTTCAATAGAACTTCTATTTTTGAGTCCCAGAAAATTAAAATACATCTTATTTTGAAATTGAACATGCTTCTTCCATCGTTAATGCTATCATCTTAAGACATTCATCTCTGAGAGGAATATAAGTGTTTAACAAACCTTTTTACCCTCCTGTTGCCAACTTCATTGGGCGCTTTATCCCCACAAGTCTATGTGAGGCACATTCTATAAACGTAGTCGATAATGAAATATTTAAACAACATCGTTTTCAACATCTACAGAAACTGAGTAGCACAAAATGAGATCTACTCAATTCCTGGGGAAAAATTTTCGGAAAATAAAAACTCAAACACATCAAAATTTCAATAGTAATTTTAAATCATTCATGAGGGATAAAAAAGAAGACACTTCACTAACCTGTGGATACTGAGCTAAATAACGTTTAATAAATTCTTGAGAAGATTCAGTCGCTTCTTTCCAATTTTCTTTAGCTATACAAAATTCATCTATGATTATAAATTTTTTAAACTTACACTGATGACATATACGAAAAATTTCATTCGGTGGTGAATATTGCGTGTAACCATCATCAAAAAATAATAAATATCTAAATAAATGAAAGTTATCCGGTTCAAGTTGTATACTCCTCCACTAACCTTTGATTATTTCTTTCACTTGGCGGTTCAGCAATTAAACCGGAATAATAACCAATTCCACCGGTATCATCTCGATATATGGCTAAATTATTGGTGAATGGACAAATTCACAGATAAAACAAACAAACAGAAAACTTGAGTTTTTAGTTAGATTTTCACCGTTAAGTTAGCTATGAACTTAAATAGAATCTGAGACAATGTTCTCCGAAATAAGCCAAAAATGAATTTCATGCTAACAGTCATATCACTGAAGATAAAGATAAAAACTTGAGATTTAAGGACCATGATCTCTTAAATGGCAAGCAAAAATATTTAACAATTCAAATATAAAGATTTACTGATAAAATTATTTCCTTCATGTAAATTGACTTATTTTCAATACCTCATAGAAAAAGTGAAATATATACTAACAGTTACCTTTTAAAAAAGTATTGGACTTGTAATCTAAATAATCTGGATATTATTTAGTGAGTAAACATTAATTTTCAAGTATTTATAACCTATATATATATATATATATATATATATATATATATATATATATATATATATCAAATAACATAGTAGAAACCCATCTAAAATGAAATGCCTAATAAGTATATGTTCAGATACTTGAATAAGTTACCAAAAAATTAAGAGACATTAATATATTCAAGTGATGTTGATTATAACATAAACCACATGATGACCAAGCAGTAACATCAGTCAGATATCTAACTTTTTCATATCAGTAGGTGTACATTGATTTAATCACACAATGAATAATAATTGGTTTGTGAAATAAAATATGAGGCTTAATCTTTAACTCTTATGAGTAGCTCTAGTATACTTTACTCATTTTTCACTTGTATTCATTCTCATTAGCTATTAATGAGTGGCTGTCATGTAATTGTAACAGGATTTGACATTTGTGTACTGAGGAATCTCATATACAAACTGGTAGCTCTTAAAAATGAAAAGATATCTCACACTGTGCAACACCATTACGAAAGGGAGAAATCAATAACAAAATAAGAGGATTCTGTTTATTTAAGAATGAGAAGAACTGATTATCATTCATGAAGAACAGATGATCCTAAAAAAACACATACTTATCTATTATAAGTAGGATGTTCCCGGTTTTCATTTCTAAAATACAAGCACAAAGAGAGACCTTCAACAACACGTATATTATTATTATGAGTGATGTTTTAGGGGATATCCTATCAAATTCCAAAGATAAATTTATTTGACTATCTACTTAAATTTTTCTATAATTTCAAACTTAATGTTATGTAGATAAATAAAACCACATTATAACCATATTTTTGTGCAGAAAAAACGAGTGAAAAACTTGATTTCAATGAGGTTTTATTTTAATTTTTACAATAAGTCACAATTGCGTTTATGACAGTTAGTCCGGTGAATTGGCTTAAGTATTTATCAGCCCAAGACACGCTACATATTAGCATGTGGTAAAAGCAAAATTATAGCACCTGTATTTCAAACACTAGCCAGTAAGCTCAAATCCTACTCCAGTGACTTTATTTTGGACAGTTTAATAGTACCAATAGTGACTGCTTGAAAAACTGTTGCTAAAAGATAGATACGTAAAACCGCAATGGGTGAATAGGTTAAACATGATCAAGAAGAAATAACCGTGGAAAAACGCTTAAGACTCAGAGATGGATGAATATAACCATATATTGATGGGATTACAAGCCGTACTGACACTGGAAAGTTCCAAAAGCACAACTCTGTACGAGTTTCATCATTATTACTTGAGAATTGAAAATTCTGTTAAGAATTAAAACAAACATAAAGTTATAATTCATCACTTACAGACTACACGAGCTCCAACTGGATACTTTTGTTTTAACTCGTATGCAGAAAAAGCTAGTGCTAAGCACGAAGTTACAGCATAACAAATCTCTGATTTTGACTTTGAAGATGTGTCCAAAGCAATAGTATACTGAATATTTTCATTTTCCTTAGCTCTATCTTTATCTGATTTAGGTACAGACGGATCTGAAACTGGATGATGACAGGATAACACACGACCGGGAAACCAGGTATGTTGTGTTTTACGGTATAATACTGGTTGGAACGGTGTGAGTTGTCTACATGAAGTTTAAAGGATAAATAGGGAATATGATTAGCGAAATTGGAACGCGACTGATTATATCTTCGAAAAGATCATGTTTAACTAGTGACTAAGAGAATTAGTTGCTTACACTAATAATCCTTTGAAAACAGTGTTTCTTCAAATAAATTGAAAGGCAATTTATAGTATGAAAGATATAGTGTCAAAAACAAACAATATTTCAAGGCTATAAACGAACTTTAAACGCCCAATTAAGCAGCTCTGATTCCAGTTTTAGAAAATCCTAGAACTTTTCACGTATTTTGGCTGAAGTACTTAGTTGTTATGAAATACATAGTCGGCAAACAATCTGTAGTTCTTATATCTGTTCGTACTGAAAGTTTGCTGTGAAACTTGTGTATGTAAAAATCAATCTATTTCGGTGGTGTATCAAACGATTTGAGTTTGAATCTCTGAGCTCTCTTGATGTTTCAGACAAAGTCTTATAAAAAGTGTCGACGTCTACAATATACATAGGGCTATTTTATGGAATTTCTCCGAAATCGTAATGTGTCTTGTTCCACGTGGTAAGATTAAGTCACAGGAATATTATAATAAAAATCTGGCTAAAAGCATAAAAAGCATCTTATTAATTTATAATTACAACATTAACACTTACAACCCAAGAAGTAACTCTGCCGGCTGTAATGTTCTCCATACAGGAGCATTGGAGTGATTTGTGGTTGATTCCAAAATCCGACTAAATCAAAATAATTAAAAGAGGCAAAATTAGTTTTCATAGAAGCATTCGTCAAGTATTAAAAAACTAATGTAAGCAGAATAGATTTTTTTGCAAAAATCGTGAATAAATAATTTTTATCATAATTGACGTCAGCTGCAAAGACATTTAGAACCAGGGAACATTGGGTAGCTGATTTATAAGCAAGTTTTTACAAGCGAATAGCTTTGGTATCAATTTCCAAACATTTTAGTTAGAATCCATAGCAAAGCCTATCAAACTAACACAGAGAGAGTGATGCTACACAAATTGATTTAAGTTGGGAAAGTGATTTATCAGATTTCGACTTGGTGGCTTAAAAGCATTGTGATTACTGTGAGACCTGAACTCAACTGCTTTGTGGACTGTATCTGTAGGTCAAAGGCTTGAGGAGTGCCCCCTAATAAAACCATCTGTCCCGGTTTGGACCTTGGGACAGTAATCCAGCCCACTAACAAATTCACATAAATAATTGGACGCGCCTTTGTACCAGTGTTTATGTGTTTAAATAAGCAAATAAAAGTCATATATACCAAAGATGTGTTGTAGATATTCTCACTTATACCAAGTATCCTACTGAGCATCTAAAACACTATCTGATATTAAAAGCACGATATAAGTTATTAGTAATAAAGAAATTTAATTAGAAAACATACTTATTCGGTCTTTCAATGACCATAATTTCTTCCTCATCCTTGGCTAAATCAATTACACGATTATCAAATAAACACAGAACCCGACCGAAAGAACTAAAGAATATTTGAAAAAAATAATACTGGATAAGAATTATTTACTTTATCTGGAGTTTCGTCATTTCATCAATTACAGCATCAATCTTCCCATTCAACTCTAATAAATTACTTTGTAAAGTGGATTGTTCTTTTTTAAGCTCATCTAAACGCGTGTTCAGATTAAGTTCAGGAAAACTTTTGATGATTTCATCGAGCAAACCACATTCTTCCAAAGCCAAAGAAAATCTCTGCTGAATTATATGAAGTCTGAGTTTAGGATCGTTTACTTTTATGTATATAATTACGATAGATAGAAACAAAATGTGTTCTTACCATCTTTTAATTCAGCTTGATACTTGCTTTCCACAAATGCGAAAATAATACCAAAGATATCATCAGAATCTAAAGCATCATAGATTGACTCAGTTAATTCCTCTATTAATACATGATGTTCATGCTTTACTAAATTCATTGTATCACCTAAATGAAACATTAAGATTATTGTGTGAAGTAGCTGTGTAATGTCAAACAATAATAGTAATAACAAAGAAAACAATAATAACGTCAAGTAAGTAATTTGTAACTTTTGATACCTTACATAACATAACTGATTTGTTTCTAATTAAATGAAATGACATAAAGAAGGCATTATCAACTTTAATTAATTGTCAGTCAGTCAGTTACAACGTAGAACTTCGTACGTACGTACATCAGTCCAAGTTGCCATACACATTAGCAAGGAGACGCAATTATCAATTCAAACCCCATAGTAGTAAAGGAACTACACGTACTAGCTACTAGCAGTAGTCAGAAAGCAGCAGTCCAAAGATATAATTCAGGAAGTGTAATTCAGTGAGAAAACTTTAGAAAGAAAAAGAGAGAGATGATGAGAAATTCAGAGGAAAAGGATTCGAGAGAACTCAAAGGATAAATGCACCTGCGACATCGCAAACAGTTTTGAGCCATGTTATTTAAGGTCTCTAACTACAGATTACCACCGTCTCGAGGACACCAACCAGGTAGTCTACACCTACCAACATGACTCAATCCACTTGTCAGTGACTTCATGGATTTGTGCCATGTTTTGGTCTGGCCGACTCTATCTTTCTTCCAACCTACTCTTACATAGCAAAACAGCTTGACGAGGCAGTCAGTGGTTAGCCATACGCAAAACACGTCCCAACCACCTCAAATGATGAAAATTCACTACTTCATCTATTGATCTACCTAACACCCGTTTCCTGCACCCATTGTGGTAAATACTCAAACCAACGACTGTGACAATGTATATCCTATTTTTAATAGCCATACCAATGAAAAGCATCTGGATGAAAATGGAGCATTGAAAATGTCCTGCGAACATTCACCGACGTCCAACTTAAGTTGAACAGCAGCGGAGTTTATTATCTACGATTGGAAACCAATCTTCTAAGATATGTTGAACTTTGAGTGAATACTTTTAAGTTTGGTTTCTTGTTCTTACACATTAATGTAGACAGATTTTCTATTTCAATTAGGTCCAATCAAGAGTTATGGCCCGTTTTAGGACGCATAGTTACCCCAGCTGAATTTAACGAAATATTTGTTGAGTAAAAGAAATGAGTGACTTTGAACTGAAGTATTTGGTTCATCAAATATATAGCTATTATCTTTGACGGACCTACTCTTTCAAACGTCAGATACAGCTAGTCACAATAGGAAAGCAGGCTTCTATCAGTGTGTTGTAGTCGATCGTCGTTTCGAAGGAAGAATAATGTTTCAGCCAAACTGCCACCATGGACACTAATTTCAAAACACAATTAATTTGATTTAAACATTCGCTTTAGATCCAATGTTCATGATATACCTAAGTGGGGTGAAGAAATTAGTCAATTTGCAGCTTGGTTTCCATGACAAAAAACTTATGGACATGAGTTAAACTACTACCAATGACATAAAATAAATTTATACAGCGACGGGGGAAACAACGATGATGTTTGAGGAAAGACAAGCGACAATGGCTCACATTTTGGCGAAAAGTGAGTTATCCTTCATAAGTTCAGGCGAAATGAAGTAAATTAAGTGACATTTATCATACAAAGCTACAAAAAGAAAAATTTCACATTATTTCACGCGTTTCCTCTTTGTTATACTCTGCTTCTCAAATAATGTTTCCTTTGTTCACCCCGCTTGCTGTTATTTTCTTTCTTGAGTTACATAAATTCACCTTTAAATACCAATTTTAAGGCAGCCTATCACGAGTTGCTAATTGAAAATTCGAAATTAAGACAGAACTAAAAATGAAAAGGGCTTCCCACTGACTGAGATACTATTTGAACTATACTTCGGGTAGTTACTGTGAGTCACCTAACTTAAACGGCAAAATAAAAACACATCCTAATCAAGGAACTTACAAAAATAAAATATAAATGTACATTTCTATGCTGGATATATTCGGAATAACTTCCGTAATTCATAATATGACCACTAAACTCACCACTTACGAATTATAAAATTTTCCACACCACGAGACACAAAAAATATGCAATAAATACCCCTACTAAATAAATTATCATCGTTCTCATTCAGACCTACCATACATAAGACAGTCGTAACGCATTATCCAAATGAGGCACTTCTAGTATCCAATATCCAATTCAGTATCTATTTCACGAGCTACTGCAAACCAATTTGATTTCTTCGCGCTCGATTCTTGTTCTTTCTGTACCGTTCCAGGTTTTCGGTAATGATCAATTGATAGAGATCTATCCACTCGACTGTCTAATTCTAGTCAGTTGGCAGTTGTTTATAAGTTTATATGTCTCGGGATTTGAATGAAAACGTTGTTTCAGGTCAGTAGGGTTTCTGGATACCAGCAGCTATCACATTATCATACCGTAGATCAGTTAGTTGCAATGTGGAGAGTAATAAGGATAATAATAATATGAATAAATTTCAGAACTGAGTAATATATAAATGAATTTAGTTTGTTAGTTGGTAGTGAGGATTGTGAGAGAGGACCGAAGTGTAAGCAAGGGAGAGGAAACAAAGATAGGTGAGATAGATTAAGTAAGTGATCTGAGGAGATGGCAATGATAATAACTAGCAGATCTCAAGATATGCATCATGAACAGCTTGTCCAAGAAGAAGATGATAGTCCGTATGTGAGTACGTGATTATCAAGTCTCTTCTTAAAGCAGCCCACTGAGGGGGGTGTGGTCACCTCGTCTGAGAGAGCATTCCAAGTTGCAACGACTTGCAGTGAGAAAAAGTGTGCACGAATCTGAGTATTGGCTCTTTGATGTGCAATCTTTCGAGGATTGCCTCAAAAGAGTGGTGGCGATGCATCGGTAATATGCTCACGTTGGGATGGTTTGGCGTGCCTAATATGTTATATGCCATGATCGGATCACCTTTGCTTCTCCTATAGCTCAGTGGAAATAACCCCAAGAGCTGGAGTCTGTCGTCGTGGGGTTTATTTTTTGACCCTATCACCCATTTGGTTGCTCGTCTCTGCACTCAATTCAGGAGATTTATGTCTCTTTTAAGCAGAGAGTGTGTGATGACATTGTGAACCTCCAAGTGTGGGCGCGCGTACGTCTTAAATAGGGTTAAAAATAATTGTGGGGTGACAGCACCAATTTGTCTTCACATAAAGCGAAGAGTCGCATTTGCCTTGGCTGCATCCCCTACATAGTTTGGGCTCGTATAGAGGCCTTTTGTGGCTATTAAACCGAGATCGCGCTCTGAGGAGACATTAGGCAGCGGACTTCCATTGAGGGTTGCTTGTGAATTAGTATATCCATTGATCTGAATTGTACGTTTGTTCCATGGCAGTAGGATTTCTGAATACCAGTAACTATCACGTTGTGAGGCCGCAGATCGGTTATTTGCAGTGTGGAGAATAGGAAAGAAAAAACTCTAATTGTAAGACGAAGATTTAAGAACTAAATAAATAAGTGGATAATTTAGTTTATTAATCGGTAGTGAAGAGTGTGTGAGAGGACCGTAGTGTATTAGAACACTAACTGTACACCTGCACTTATGTAAGTCACTTGTACGATAACGAATGGGCAGTTAATCGTATGTAACGAGGAAATTCAGAGTAACTGGATTGTTAACAATAATGTTGATTTACAGAATATAATAATGAAGGCACAGTGGTCTGATGCTTATGTTGATTTCATTTATTGTTTTTTAGCGCTGTAGCTGAAGAAGTCATGAATAAGCTCGTTTTCACCATAATTGTCCAAATGTACTTGTAATAAGATTTATTGGCAGGAAGTGAAACCAGTGCAGAGTTACAAACATGAGTCGTAGACATGGTTAACATGGAAAAGGAACATCAATGATTAGTTACATCCTGCCATATCGTAAGGAGCAGTAAGCAAACAAAATTTTGTGTCTGTCAGACATGGGTAGATTGAGGTTGTCGTCACACCGTCATGAATGCTGGTCAGAAACACCACCATCTCACCTTTTGTGAGGATGATAGATTTTAAAGAATGTATTTTAGTCTAAGCAATATTTTTTATACACTATGTCTACTAGCTTCATGGTACAAGCAAACCAGACAACTTTGGCTTCTTCATGTCGGACTAAATATCCACGTAACATTTTACACTGCTATTAAGTTAGCTATTGGTATGAATTGAAAGATATGGGTCAGTTAATCAGTAGTTTGGAGATCCGAAGGTTAGGCAGCTGACGGAAAAAATGAGGAATAACTGTGTTACGGTTAATTCATGAGTAAGCTAATAAATAGGTGTGGAAGCAAGCTGTCTGGGTGGCAGTTATTTGGGGTAAAATCAGTAAACTAGTAGTCCATGAACAAGAATGGACTCACAATGATACAGGAAGTTTGAGTTCTGTGTGGTTAACGGTAGTTGATCGGCATCTGCAGGCTTTTAAACTCATCTATCTACTAGAAATAGAAACTGAAAGTGCTCTGAAAGGTAAACAGATAATGATGCAGTTTTGAATTTTAAGAAAACTACAAGTATGAGAGGTAGCACCAAAAAGGCTTGACCTCCTACTGTTAGTGGGAATATGGGAATTCGTCGATCGTGAATGAATGATAATTCAGAAGTAACATATTCATGGTCTTCTATTAGTCGCTAAGGTTATTCTAAACATATGATCGACCAAATAGGAGTAACTCGGGATTTGGTGTGAGTTCCGGAAATAGTGGATAAATCTCTTCAGAGTCTAACAACAGCATTACCGGTTTCTTGAACCTGGTAGATGTGTCACACATACGGAAAGAAATTGGCAATCTGTTCCAGAATAAACTGTATCATGTTGCAAAGAAATTACAACGTAATGGCTTTTTGTGTTTTGCCGTTAATAGTGTATGTGCGTTGTTTCTAAGTCAATAAGCAGTGTTGTGGTTCATAATTGGGTGGTATTTCACGAACAAGAAGCCATATATAATTTTATAGTTGAGTATTAGCGTTTTTTGGCAAGTTAGTTTATGGTTGGGATGGGGGCGCCAAACGCTTG